AAGGAATTTACATAAAACCTTCATATTTATTTTGTTTTATTCATACGGCCGTACGTGATTACATTCTCCACTATTTAAAAGCCAAATGCTCGTTTATTGTGAATATGCAAATAGCCGCTATCCGTTACAATTTCACAAATGTTTTTGCTATCAATATGCAAATTAGAATTCAAACGCTTTCATAAATGTCAATTATTGCTATTTAATTAAAAAACAAATTAATAATTCAATAACTTATACTGAAAACATTGTGCAATTTCTGAACGTTTTAACGTTAATTTCTTTAATTAGAATTCAATTTCATTTAGATCGTTCTTTCATTATAGTTTCAAATTGTGGTATAAAAATTCCATTGAGTCTTATTTTGATGAACATCAATTTAATAATTCTCTGAGCAGTGGGAGATATGGGATTGCTTCTATTTCGCCCGGATTTCGGATGTTTTTTCCTGCCGAAGGAAAACAAACGCTTCAGCAGACTGCCAAAGCCGCTCGGGGCTGGTGTCGTTGTTGGATTTTTCGGTTTTAGACGCCGAAGCAACTGCTCCAGCTCGTATTGGCGCTGATAGTGATAGGGCGATTTCGTAAAGTGTCGCCTAGTGCTCATCTCGGGTGTTACGGATCGCGCCAGTTCCAGTTCCAACGGTATATTGTCGCTGCGAAATAGGACGCAAAATGACGCTAGTATTAGACTACCGACAGAGAGGACTTTATCGATTAGATTATTGAATTACATCCTTTATAGATTATACATTATTTTTTGTATTGGTTGTTTATCATTTATCATATCATTTAACACTTTTTGTATTCATTACGTTTACAAACTGTAATTGAAACTAAACATTTTCTGCATTTTATTTCCTACGTAATAATAAAATATAAAATACAAAGTATAAACAATAATAAACTTAAGGGGGTATTCTAGTGTAGAAATTCAAAAAAATCGATTTTTTTTATTTCATATTTTCAAAGTTTAATTATCTAAGAATATGGGTACGAAAAGATTTTTGAAAATTTGAATTATTTTCGGAGATATAGGCATTTTAATGACTCGGTCTCCATACTGGTTTGGCTTCACGCAAAACTTTAAATGCGTTTTTCTCAGAACAGACTTTTTAGGTATTGTTGACACGATTTCTCGAGTTTTAATCGACCGATTCACTTGAAATATTAAGAGAGTCTTGTCTATCTATAGCCTGAACTAGGTTTATCCCCAAATTCCAATCTTTACTACTTTTAAAAAAATCGAGAAACTCAAAAAAACACTTTTTTTTCAAACAGTCGCCAATTTGTAAAAAAAATCGTTTTACTCACAGCTAGTTCAGGCGATTGCGACATCATTGTAAATTAATAATCTTTCTATGTTTTGCATTTCCGATGGCTAGGAGGGCTGAAATTATGTCAAGACTGAGGTGCCAATTTTTTGAGACAGCCCACTTTATCAGCTGCCAGTTTTTACAATGTTAAAGTTTTTTATTATTTTATTTTTGTTTTGTATTTTAATAATATTAATAAACAAGTGGTAAAAAATGGCACTTTAAAAGTGACCTAAAATTCATCGCGCTACACTAGAATACCCCCTTAAGTAAAGCCTATAAAAATCAATTATTCTTGAACAAACTAATGATGCTACAGGCAAATTGTTGAAGACGATAAAATCTTATATACGCAATGTGATTAATGAGTGTTTATGGTGCAAATTGCACATTATATTTAGTTTCCAATCTAGGATAATATCTTACAATTTGTCGTGACTTTTGATCTATTAATATAACATATGGTAATAGTTTTCGCTGCTCAATATTAACTTGGACAGACATAAAATGTAAAATATAGTCCGTAACAAAAAAGTAAGATCTTTGAACATTGATTACCTATTCGTTAAGTACTTTTATCCTTTGTTTTGCACTCATCACATCTTTTAAGACATATATGAATCTCATCAAACAAATTTCACCCTTTTTAAAAATATTGTAAAACGCTATGAGTACTTTAATATTTGTCGATATAAAAATCATGCCGTCTAAGAGTCTAATTGAAATACAAATGTTAATATAAAATGTAATTGTTGTTATTTTTCATATCTTGTTATTAACTTCATAAAAAGTGTTCTATTATAAAATTTTTATAATATTTCGAAAAAAATCTAATAGACGTAATACCTGGCCCAAAACTAACTCCTGATAATTGTCGTTTAAATTTAACTTAACTCAAACAATTATTAATTTTAATTAATATACCTTTTTTCAAAGTCGCTTAAAGGAATCAAAGACACTATTACAATAAGCAGAGTAAACATATTCATCTTCGCCAGATTTGTATAAAATATTTATTTGACAATACAACTTTTGATTAATGTGACACTTCCTTTATAAGTTTGAAAACAAAATGACAACACAAATGAATCTAAATTTCCTCGAATATAAGGATCGGAGAAGTTGTTAAATATTACAACAGCAAAATAAGGTCCCCACATTTTTAAATTTAAATTAGATCATTATTTTATTAATTTATCCAATGTCCAGCGAGATTGCGCAACGATATATTTCGTTTAAAAACGACATCAATTATCCAAATGACGCAACAATCAGCAGCAAATCATTTTTCAGGCCGAGTCAAAATGTTTCGCGCTCTGTTAGATAAACAAACAGACTTCGGCACAAACGATTAGTTAGAAATTAGCAGCAGCAGCAGATTCAACAGGCATAAATATAAATATATGTAATGCTAATGCTTCTACAAATAGAACTAACCGCAATTCTAAAATTCGTAAATAGGCATAGGACGAACCTTCGGAATATAATGAACTTGTACAGATAATAAAAGGCAAACATAAGAACATTTTTTTTATAAAAGTAAAAAAAAATCTGAATAGATCAAATTATAAATCAATCGCATATACTACAATGGTGATAAGGTAAATATTACGATGGTGTTACCCCATAAGATTGCAAAACAGGGGTTTCTCAATTATAAAGCTAAGCCCTTACAAACTTCAAGTATTGTATGTCCGTTCTATATCTATTTGATCAAAAATAATAATTTATATGCCTTGTCTTAGAATTAATAATCTGGCCGATAATCTTTTATTTTTGCCGCATTAGATACGCCGAGAGGAATCCACATGTGCGCTGATAACATATTAACAACATTGAAAGTAAAGTAACGACCTTGCGCGGTTCAATGCGTATACTCCAATACACATGAATTCTAATCAACACGAGCATTTATTTACAACATTACGTAAAATTTACACAAATGTAATTTGCATATTAGTTGTATTCATTCATTACGTTTATTGTAAGTATCAATGATAAAAATAGTAGTACATGTAAAGAGGCTTAGTTATGTAAAATCCATCTTCTCACAAATGCTTGTAAAATAACTGAATCAAATTTGTAAACTGATCTATATGAATCATATAATTGAAATTTCTTTACATAACAGCCGCCTTAACACGTGTATGGAGAAGCTCAAAATAGCTTTTCTGAGTTAAGTTGCCATTATTGAATAGATTCATGTTTATGCAAAGATATTAGATATTAAGGATTCAGAACTTTTGAGGAAAACCTTGATATTTTTTGGCGCTCATTAAAAATTATAAAGAAACGTCTTAAGTAATCATAGCCAAAACTAATCAATACCAGTCATTGTCAAGAAAACATAAAACTCAAGTTGCATCAAGTTTTCTGGAAAAAACAAACTCCTCTTTCAGGTAGTTAATAAGTTCATCTTAAATAAATGTTTATAGTTATTTAACTTGACAATTCGTTGCACAATCAGTAGTAACAATCAAATTTCTAATAAATACAATTCTATTGACATGTATTTTTAAATTGGTTTAATAATTATTAGAAATAGGATCATGATGACAAAAATAAAACTTTGGTTGTAAAATTGATTGATTACAATTGATTGTACAGACGTTCATCAAGAAATTTAGATGCCTGCTGGTACTTTTAGATTTGTTTCAATTTAGAAATAATAAGTACATATTATAAAATATTAAATTTTATGGTTCCAAATATGTTTGCATGTATATGCTCTATTACTAATCACTTAACCGATTTGCAAGAAGAGTTTTAATGCAAGAAATGTAAGAGTACAAATGCATCAGAAATAAAATGCATAAATTTCGCTATGAATATATTTCGCTTGATGAAATTTCTATATCGTGCCCTATAAAATGTGCAGTGAGATATTCGTCATACGGCTTACTACGACCAGAACCGGTTTTGGGGGCCCTATGGAAGCTTACTACTACTCCCGACTAACACACGACTGTGTGTGCAATAAACAATTATCATAAAACTCATTTTCGTGAATTAAAAACTGATAATGAATAATAACTTTTAACTCAACAAAACTTGCGACAACAGGACTTTCAACGACGTCCCTTCCTTATAAGTAAAGCCTCATAATCCAATTTGATAACATGATGACGTTCAGCGACAAGAATATTAATTCAAAATAGATTTTATAAATTGTATAATGTTTTAATGATAAGAACTAGCGAATTGAGTATTTCAATACTGTGCGCAAATTAATAAATCTAAATAAACTAGGATATTTTTTATTTGAATTGAAGTAACATGCAAGTACTACCAACTGCATATACATTTCATAAATGGCATCTTGTAATTTGTGTTTTTTCATTCAATAAACTTCCAAGTTAAATAAAAGTAATGAAATTAATTAAACAAATTTGTCATATTATCTAAAGATATCAAATACATTATTATTTGATAAAAATAAAGTTCTTATACATTTATAGTGACCTACTGCTATGACCTTGCATATTCTGTTGTGTCAAAGAAGCCGGTTCGAAAAATGATATATACATATATATATAATGAATTCTGTAAAGTCAAACCAAATGCAGAGCTCATTTCACGCGGAACTCCTCAAATCCAATGCAAATAAAGTGCATGTTTCTATTTGCGTCTACATTTAAAACATTGTCCATTTATTCAATTTGAATGAAACATTTATATCCCTTACTTGTAAAATAGCAACGACCAGCCGAACAGGACCACTTTGCAAAACTATCGTGCTAACGGTGGTGGTATCCGGATGAGGATTAGACGCCGACATCTCGCCAGCCTCCATCTTCCTTGAAAACGTTGATTAACTATGTCAACGATTAATTACTACACATTCACCATAAAATTCACTAACAATTCGTGTTTGAAATATACTTTTTGCCAATTTTTTCGATCGTTTTATTCACGTTATTTTATCGAGCGCACGGACGAGAGAAGCGGCCTCTTACCAGCATGACCGCACGGAGGCGACTGACGATATGTTTTGGTTAGTCGGCTGGCAATAGGCGCACGAGATGTGGTTAGGGCTGGGAATGAAAATTGCGAGAATTCAAATTTCAATTCAAATAGCCATCAAACATATAATACAAAAAATTGCAATTAGAATAAATCAATAAAATTCAGATTTGCTTAACTCTAGAAATACGGTCTATTTAATACGTTGGCTAACTGTCTATTTAATACGTTGGCTAACTGTTTTACTCACAAGTTACTTACTTCAAGTAGGTTCTTTTGCAAAAAGTTGAAATGACATTGACATTGTTAGAAATTTAATTTTATAATCTGTTCTTTTAAATTAGTTTTATATAAATTCATATTATATGTTTAAATTATTAGAAATGAAAGACATTGCAAGCCCTGGCTCCAGTGTTTAAAATATAAAGCACATGTGAAATGGTCCTGTTCGCTTGATTCTCGATAGATTTCGCATTATATTTTGAAGATTAATTTACCGATTTCTGAAAACGTGGTTTTATATTTACGTTTCGCATATTATTTAAAGTTGAAGTCAAATATTAGAAATATTCAATCAAGAAACATGGAAAGATCATACACATACGCTTGAGTAAATATATGACATTTTTGTTATCCAATTAAAAATGTATTATTTCATAGATTGTGATTGAAATAAATCTATTAAATATAGAAGATATAAGACTATTTAAAATATGTTATTAAACTCTATAAATATTTTATTAAATTTTTTTAATAGGCTAAGTGTCAGATTTGAAACTTGAAGTTGACTGCAAACCGCCTTCAGGCATTACTTTATCAGAATAGTGTCATATGTAGAGAAAAAGATATATTATGTAATAAATAAGTTATTATTCATAATAATTGTATACCAGTCTTATGTGTGAAACCAGTGATCAAAAGTAATAAAATAAAGTACTATAATAAGCGAAATAAATAAATAATTCCATTAAACAAATCAGTGTGTTTCAATAACCGCCATTTTGATTTACATTGAGAATAATACTCAATCTCAAAATATGTGATTTTCTTCAAACAATTAGTTTTTGTTCGGTGAAAACTTGTCGTAAACTTGATTTCGAAAATGTTTAAATTATTGCGTGCGTAAAATGAGTGCTTTTCACTTACCGCGTCCTCTAATTCTTTTTCCCGAAACTCCTGTTCGGTCCTCACCAAACTAGCGTCGGAAGCCACTTGGCATTGCCTAACCTTAAAAGTCCTAGTTTCTATGATTTTCCTGACCAATTTGTTGCTGGTCGATCCGGTGTTTGCAGTACGAACACCTGTGTGTCTTCTTGTTCTTGCTGGCGGGAAAGCTCTTGGTCGAGCCAAGGAAATGCACCGCACTCGGAGGCGGTATGGTAGGATGACGAACGTGATTGTGGGGTGCAGGTGCATTCGGAGGCGGTTATGAAGTCGTCGGACTCTGATCGCACATCTTCTGTACAGGTTTCTTCTGCAGGAGATAGAGAGCGGGAGGCGCTTTCCTGAGATCAAATATTGGTATGTTAGTTTAATTTATAGACAAAATCTTATTCGAATGTTAGAGCAGTGATTTCCAACATGTTGGGCTGGTTTTATTACCGGGGAGCCAAAAAATTAACAAAAATTAATAACCATTTTTATGTACATGGTAACAAAATATTGTATAGTATTTTTTATACCGTTGAATAAATTATATCAATTGAGTATTTCGAAAAAAAGGTTGGAAACCACTGTGGTAAAATTGTATTGTTTTCTTTATAATATTTCAGTATTTTTTATTTACCATGCATTATTTGTATATTGTCTGTGTATGGGTTTTATGTTATTTTATTCGATATTTTTTTAATATCATATGTAACTTCTTTCATATTTTTCTTTCGTAATTTATTAATTGAATAATTGTTAACTGGCATATGGTTAACACCTTAAAATTTAATATTTTTGATAAGCATATATATATATATATATATAAGTAAGTTCTTGTGGGGCAATACATCAAAGAATAAAAAGCAAAGATTTATAAATTAATCTTTAATTCCAAATGTTTCGACATTCAATTTAATGTCATCATCAGTGGATATTAACGTTGGTAGGTTAATCTTTAATTCAAATGTTTCGACATTCAATTTAATGTCATCATCAGTGGATATTAACGTTGGTAGGTTACATCTAGAGAAGTATGCACAACACTAAAAATTAGCACTAATATTTATACAACTAACTTGTCAACACCATGCATTTTTTATAATTTTTTGTATGATGTAAAAAGAAAAATGATAGTTTTATTTGAACAAAAATCTGAGTAAAGTTAGGTAATTTCTGCCACAACTTGTGTACTTTGCGAGTTCCGAGGCTTATTGAATTCAATAATATAATATAAATATTAGTGCTAATTTTTAGTGTTGTGCACACTTCTATAGATGTAACCTACCAACGTTAATATCCACTGATGATGACATTAAATTGAATGTCGAAACGTTTGGAATTAAAGATTAATTTATAAATATTTGCTTTTTATTCTTTGATGTATCGCCCCACAAGAACTTACTCATATATATCAACATCAAAATTAACAACTAAATCATATATATATATATATATATATATATATATAACATATATATATTTATAAAAAAATATAGATATAATACTATTAATAAAATTTATATACAATTTGATAAATTTATCTACAATTAGAGAATTGTATCTCTAATAATTTATTATCATTTATTATTACATTATTATTTACAACCAAGTAATTAATTAATTCTTGCAAATTCAGCTACAATTAGTGAAATTTATCTTCAGTTAGACAAATTTATCTACAATGATGCAAATTTATCTACATTATTACAATATCATCTACCAAGCAATTTTTGTTACATTTTTGCAAATTCAGCTACAATCAAGCAAATTTACAATTGGGGAAATTCATCGTCAAGGGAAATTCATCTATATTTGCAAACAGTTGCAAATTTATATACAATTATGCAAATATTGCTATGTATTAAAGTTTTTTATAATCTTTTTACCAATAAAATAAAAATTTGTTTAATAATTAATTATTCATTATAAAATAAGTTTTTCTTTAATTAAACTTAGCTTGAACTTTAGTGAAGCTTTATAGATTATATCAAGTTATACCATAAAATAATTTGTTTTTATTTATTTTTATACTTACATTTTGCGAGTCCTGAGCACTTCTTAAGGCAGCATCCAATTGTTCAGCCAAACTGGTTATTTCGGACATCCTTTTGCTGATTGCTTCGATGGCCGAAGCATTTGGCTGTTCCTCCGGACTCGACATCCTAATAATAATTTAATAATCATAATAAATGGTTAATCTTGTGCATATTTAAGCAATGCAAAGTTAAGCAATGGAATGTAATATATAAAGTCACATTTTTATCTGAAAATCACATAGTTTTTTACTTTTTCTCATGTGCCATTGCCCATTGGAATCTTGTTGGAATTTGAATTGGAATCATATGCCACTTGGAATGATAACAAGTTATAACATTAGCACCATAATTTTTTTGAGCTTTTTTAGATACGAGTTTTTAAAATTTGTTGATTCTAGGTTACAACAAAAATATGTCACTTACAAGAATATTGAAAATTATTATTATTGTATATTACAACAAAATTATGGTGGTTATACAAAAACCATTACATTATTGAGTCGGATGGAATGCACTTCGAATACTATGATTAATATATAAGTACATAAAACTTTAATCGATTTAAAACAAATTTGGACTTTTGGGAAAAGCTAGCAGGAATAGATGTTATATTTAAAACTTTTCGAAAGGTCGCTGAACTATTCGGTGAAACTTGTTACAAAAATATAATACGGACGAAACTGAAAACCTTAACCTCCACGACTAACGAGCGAAGATTTTGAAATCTTGAAATAATGTCAGAAAAAATTAATGAAACAATAAAGTCCATCAAATTTAAGGAATATAATAATCTTTCCTAGCTGAAATTCAATGAGGTCTGATATATTAGTATCATAAAACGCGAATTATTTTCGCAAATGTTATAAGGCCGTGATATAGATCTAAATATACGATAGAATGCAATTGCAGAATCAAGTTATTTTGAAGTATGCAGTCGCATATATTTGTTATTTTCAGAACTTCAGAAAAAAAAAAGCTTGAACAAAAATTGATTATTGTGTATGTGGTATATTTCTCAAGTAGAAAAGTTTGTATGCAAACATGGTGTTTATATTAATTATAAATGAGATTACGAAACTTATAAGTTTCAACTTTAAAATTTAATGTTTTTTCTACAGTGTTTGGTGGGTACACAAGTTTGATTGAAAATTTTTTAGTACAATACGAAATTGAATAATCAAATTCATTGTAAATTTCAACTTGTAATTTAAAAACAAAAACAAGCGAGAACAATTGTAAGAGACTGAATAATAATAGCACGTGGTTCAAAAATAATCAAGAAATTTGCAAGTAAATATTTTGTTTGTACTGATGTATACATATGAATAATAAACAAGAGAAAACAATTTTTATTTAAATAAGTTTGGCTAAATTGATTGATAATTTTGTTAGTTAGTAAGTGAAATATAGTAATCAAACTAATTAAAATTAATATTTTGAATTCAATCTATTGACTCTAAAAAGAAGCTTCTAAACATAGTAAGTGAAACGTTACGTAATATATTAAACACCAATTAATAAATACCAAAAATGTCTTTTGCAAAAAATCTATAATACAAAAAAGTGATTTTTTATTTATTCTTACCGTCATAAGTTATTAGAATGTATTTCCTGGATCCTATTATATTCGTCCTGAACTTAAGTCACTATAAAAACACAACATTCGAAATTCATGGTGCACGTGGTACTGATGCAAGTCGGAAAAGAAAATCTTGGAAAGATATGGTTGTCGCATATGCCTCAGTCTACACAAACTTATTATAATCCATGTAATAACAGAATGAGGTCCGCGGTCCAAAATTCTGAAAATTGTAATGAATATTCAAGTTTATCATATAATTTATAAGAAAAGTATAAAGATACAAATATGTTATTAATCTGCAAGTCGATAGCAAATAGACTTGTGAAGAACAATAAAAGAAAATTGTTATGGAGATATTATTATCATAACCTAATAGGTTGGACAACCTAATAGGCTAAGCAATTGTGATATCCATTTATTACCAAGCGAAAAAGCTTTTCCCGGAATTGTTGCAATAACTTCAAATATGTAATCACAACAATAATTGACTTTCAATATAAAATGCATGTATGTAGAAAAGACATTACTTTGCGTAGTCCTCTAAAAAGCTACTTTAAGGAAATGTGTCAACATTGGAGATTTCTCAAAAAAATATATATATATATTGAATATGTAGACTACCTAAACATAGAATTCATGTATGAATTCATGTATGAATTTTAATTTATAAATTTAGCAAACTAATTACAATAACCTCTATATAATGTTCAAATTTTATTACCATTATGTTATGACTTTGATGTTATTATTATTAGGAATAGGTTTTCAATGCTAAATCTCATCACAATGTGACGCATGCGTTGATTTTGTGACTCTAAATCGGTCACAGATGTACATCATCGAGTGAACGAATATAGTGGATGCCAAAGTTCGACTGTTTTGTGCCAGAATTTCATTAATTGTGATCACGATTGATGGAACAGCATCCACTAATCCTGAACTAGATACTTCAATTACAACTGATTATAATTCACAATTAGAATACATATTTATTTCATAAATTTGAAGGATAGTTGACAAAGAATAATTTGCAGATAAAATTATAATTGTAGAATTTAAAATGTTTAAATTTAAAAAATAAAAGAAAGATTGAACAACCCAGAGAAGTTAAAAAAATAGTATGTCTGTGCCTGAAAAATACCTGTAAAGTAAAATGACCCAGAAACAAAGAAAAAAATTGTCTTACAAATAAATTATTGTCTGACAAATTAATGAAAAAAAGACCAACAGATAGCAGAATATAAAAAGTGGTATTTTAAATAAAATCAGAAACATTGTTAACAAAGGTAAATGCATAATCAGAAAAACAAACTTAACACATAAATATTAGTAAAAGTAAATAATAAATAATTATTCTATACATAACAGATTATAAAGACATATAATTATATTATATAAATATTTTCCATTTTTCTTACTTAACCCTACAATTTCAATAAGATAGACATATAACAACGTGCTAGAACAGGCGTATTAGGCAGGGGTATAGAGTACATGAAGAATTAATACACATATCAAATCTAAATTCTGAACTTACAAACAACCTTTTATGGCTTGTTTGCTCATGTAAGAATGATAGTATTTCCCCCAGGCATAATCAGGTGCTTCTCCATTTACCTGGTCTCTAATGTCGTACGAGTCTCCCGAATCTTTGTCTTTATTTCTCAGTTCATCTTCCATCCTCATTTGGGATTGTCTGGCCTTAAAAGATCGCGATTCAGCTATTTCTCTCATCAATTTACTTGTGACTTGACTGGGGCTCGACAAAGGGGTGCTGGCGATGGGAATGCTAGTTATCCCCTGCGGTTGCGTTGAATCAAGTTCTTGGTCAAGCCAAGGTGATGTTCCGCACTCTGAGGCGGTATGGTAAGATGACGAACGTGATTGTGGAGTGCAGGTGCATTCGGAGGCGGTTATGAAGTCTTCGGACTCTGATCGCGCATCTTCAGTGCAGGCTTCTTCAGAAGACAGAGAGCGGGATGCATTTTCCTGTTAAAACACGTCAGTATTAACAATATTAAATATTTGGATTTTAAAAAGGAATAATAGGTTTATTAAGCTTACATTTTGTGTATCTTGAGCAGATCTTAATGCAGCATCCAACTGTTCAGCCAAGCTGGTTACTTCTGTCAATTTTTTACTTATCGCCTCGATGGCGGAAGCATTTGGCTGCTCGTTCGAAAATGACATCCTGGTAATAAATATTTTACATGAAATTTGTCAGTTCTTTAATAATTGTATTACTAATGCATAAATATACTTACTTATCGCCGACAAGAATGGCTTCTTTCAAGCGTGTTCGCAAAAGTCTACCTAATCGTACCATACGTCCAACCTCTTGTAAAACCTGATCCTTTTCTTTTTCCCTTTGTTCGGTGTCCATAGCTGCGCCTAAAAATTACAAATAGCACGTGAGCTTCAAAAACGTTTTAAAAACAAATATTGTACAATTCATATATTGGCAACGTTGGGCAGTATGAAAGTCTGATTGTTTATTTGCATTCGTAACTATTATATTCTCTCAATAAATATCGAGATGAATCTCTTACCACATGTTGCCATTTCAATTAACTCGCGTAACCGATGACACTGATGGGCCGTGCTTCGATGGAATACAGCGCACACTCTGAGTCGGGTCATCTGTTCGTCGCTGGCGGTTCGAAGCGCGTTCCAGGCCTTCTCGAGTTCCCCACATTGACGGCAGTTGTCGGCGGATGAAAGTCTGCACGCGCTCCGTAAACATGCCGCAGCTTCCAGGAGCTGTTTGCCGTATTTGTAGGTACTCTGAAAATAAATTATATATATACAGTATATTGCCAAAGTTTAAGTTTTCATTAATTAGTATTTTACCTCTGCTGTTTTCTGCAAAGCGGCTTGTCGATCCCTCTGTATCCTTATCTCTTCCTCATTACACCCGACAGTTATATATTCTTTACGTACTGCTAAAACCAAATCATCGAGCCATTCTTTAGCACGTGCAGCTTCAGTCTCGTATGATCCCACATGCTGCAGTTGTTGCAGAGTAAGAAGGCGCAGCTCGAGCCCGTCGGTAAACAGAGAACCGCGAGCGGCCGCCGCGTCCAAGGCTCCTTTGACTTTGACCAGGTCGAGAAAGGAGGGAGACGCGTCTGACGAGAAAAGTGTATTGGCGCTGAACGGTTGATTAGATTGCTGGGACATAGGTGTCGATGAGAAATATTGTTGCGTTGGAGATGTTGGCTTGGTTGCAAACACGTTAGGTACTTTCTGGGAATTAATATTTGTGGTGTTTGGACAGCAAAGACGCTCACCCGCACGGCGAAGTGCACATTGGAGGGATTCTGAGAGAAAATATGAACAAAAAATAAAAATAATTTCTAATATTCTAATTTCATTATCAAATATTACTAGTTAGTTTTGAATTACCTAGTTCTATTTGATGTTTGCGTAAAATCCGCAATTGTTCAGCAGCATCCCTAACATCTCGTTCAAGTGTTGCACCGTTTACACCCATCAACAGCCTTTCATAAACTTCACCAGTACGAGAAAAGTATTCTCCAACTAACCGATGAAATCTTACTGAAGTTACTAAAGCATTTCGTCTGTGTTCTAATCGTATCGCAAAATGTCTGTCGAAAACATGATCACATAACATATTTATATAATGATTTAGATATAATTTAATTCCGGATTGTTATACCTGCATGCAGAATCCATTAAATCTCTTCGAGTTAATAGATCTTCTCTGGATTTTGCTGCAACCGGTAACACGTCTACTTTTCTCATGAGTTCCGCATAACGTGCATATGCAAGTCTGCATCGTAATTCTAAGGCTTCGTGCTTCCGAAGCAAAGCTTCGGCCGAAGAAGCATCTCCGCCAACTCGTTGACTGACATTCAGAAGCATTTCACCAGGACCTGAAATATAAGTATGTACATAAAAAAATACATCTATTACTATCACTCTATATGACGGACCTAAAATCCACGCAGTGACTTGATCCAAAGCAGTGCCTAATTTTTCTGCGTCCTGTGCTTCATTGTATGCTTTTTCGGCTTCCAGCCATGCTTCTTCAGATTGTAACCTGGCCGTGCTAATCGCTTCCAAGGATCTTTGAATTCTTGATTGAGTATCAAGAAAATCTTGAGGTGACCGTATTCGGACTTGTTGGCAGTCGGTTGCTACGGAGTGTGATGAATATGATATTGGCTGGATGACTATGGGAGATTGGTATTGCTGGAGTAACGATTCACCTGAAAAAAAATGAAATTAGTAAACAATTCATTATTAATAGATGTAAATGTTGAAGTCCTATTTTTACCAGCTCGTTGTATATCTTGCGCCATTTGCTCCGCCTTTTCCGATTTGGCTGCATTTTCGGCCAAGGCCGCTGACATTTGACAAAGTCTTGAATGCCGACATTCCAGTAAATGCAATCTAACCTCTTGCAATTGTGACAATGCTTCTTTAGAACGGCGACTAAATTCATCTACTAACTAAAAAGAAATAACAACGTTATGCATTTATGAAAAATAATCAATTCATATTCTTTAAAAGCACATATAAACATATGTCTTATGTAAATTTCATTTAACTATTTTATAGAAAGGATCGTGTGTCACTTGGCTATTGTATTAGTTCAGAAATGTCGTTCGTTTTGTCCCACGAGGACATACCTTTCACTGTCTCAATCTTTCAAAGAATTTGGTTTGGAAATATTCTCAGTTGACTATAGGATATTGCAAAAATGTCTAAATGTATTTAATAAAATCTTCAATAGAAGTTTATTAAATTAAATTATTACAGATGGGAACAATAATAATATTTGTTGCTCCAAACTTTGGCCAAAAAAATTATATTAACTGAAATAGTCATTAGCTGAAGAGAAGTATTTAATGTTTATAAGAAGTTATATTCATTTTAAAGCAGTACTTTTTCCAATATAATTTTCGATTACATAATAATATTTTACATAATATTCATAAGATATTTCTTCAGATAATTTTCTTCTGTAACAAAAATGTAGATACGGACAATCAGATTATTAAATACGTACAATGTGGACTAATATCAATAATCGATATATTAGTATTAACAAATTAAAGATTGAATGACGATGATAGCGATTTTATTAATATAAAACGTATACGTGAAATTATTCTTATCGCTACTTGAATTTGAAAACAATCATTATGCAATTTGTTATCGTGTCGATAAAAATTTTATCACTTCAAAAAAAGTCAAAGTCGAAGAATATAGGTAGGAATTTTTTATTAATCAACGGTGATTTTGATATGAAATGTTACAAAATAATACTGGAATGATTTTGCCACAATTATTTTGTGATTCTCCTAGTCAAGAAAAAAAGTGTTCAAAATAATTAAATATAAAATAAATAATAACTGAATAATTTTCTTACCAATCTATTTTGTATCCACTGCGTATGGTTGTACTCATATTGCCCCCCAAGGTCAACTGGTAAATTATTGTCATCTATATATTTCGACAGCCTGGATTTCGAAATATAAATTGGCTGAAAATATATTAATATTTTTCCATAATATCTAGATAATATTCTTATAATGATCATATTTACCTCTTTGTCTTTTTCCTGTTTAGTGCAATGATCTATTCGTTGTTTTGCCCAAAAAGCGTCCGATCTTAAAACTATCATGTTGGACATTTTTTGGTCCAGTAATTGTTTAATTTGTCTAATAAGGGCTCTGGCTAAACGCCAAGATCCTCGTTGACCATCCACTAATACAGCCAAACCTTCTGATTTACTTTCTTCACTGAAATGAATATTGACGATTTCATGTTAATAACTTGAAATTCTAGTATGTATTATAGAAAACTACGTGTACTTTCTTATGTGCGACACAATTAATTTGAAAACGATTCAAAGCGTTTTCAACAAATGTTTGCAAACTTAGTGTTAGTATAATAATTTTAGTCATTAGTTATGGAAATTCATAAAAAAACTGTATTTAACCAACTTTAGTATAGAGTAACAAAAAACCATAATATACATTACATATTCATGTATTTTACTTCTATGACACATGCTTCGGTTCAAAACCGCGCAATGCACGTTGTCTTTGCGGTATATTTATTATGTAACACCGTTGATCATATTATTTGTTCTATTTTGTTTAATAACACTCGACAATAGATTGGCTACCGCATTTCTGCGATAATAAATCTAAAGTCATCGACATGAACGTGCAAAGGCACAACAGGTGGTCGCTGCAGAAAATTCTACGGGAAATTGATACTTTGCACTTTACATTCTACATTTGACATTTAGAAGTAGGTAATATTATAATTAATTTCAGCTCTAGTTATGAAAAAAACAACATATGAGAAAACATTACTACTGGCGGAGAAAAAGTTTTAAGTTGCACTATTATCCATTTGCACATTCAACTGTTTCTTGTTCCAGTCTGTGAATATATGAGCACTTTCAATAAAAATCTAACTCACTCAAGAATTCCTAGAATGTACTCGATGGCTATCTCGAGGTGTTTCTTCGTCCACGGCTGCAGCTGAGTCGGCACCGTCACCAGGAGAATGGGAAGGTGCTGCCTGGTGCGGCCGCCCGGCAAGCACACCAGGCGGGACCTCAGAGCCACGAGGGTGTCGGCCTCCATGATTCAGAAGAACCTGAAAACAAATTTATTCGTTGTAATAAAAGTTAATAAATAGAGCTTTACTTGATTTTTGGACATTGTAAATGTAGAAGAAGTTTACTATTGATAAAAAGTTGTTACTTCTGCGTGTTTTTTGTAGCATCTTTATTGTGGGATTTAAAACCGCATTTTAGATATTATCAATCACAATGACCTGCATTTGCACAATATTGTTGCATTGAAGCAAGTCGAGAATAAAAAGATATTTTTCAAAATGTATCAGAGAAATCCGTAATATCCAATTACTTCTGATCCGTAATATGAAATCAGATCAAAGTGTTAGAAAATCTCTGTAAAAATGAATATAAGTACTGAAAAATCTCTATATAAAGGTAAATGATTGCACAGACAATTTAAAAAGTTTATACAAAATTGAATAAACCAAAGTGTATCAAAATAATGTTTTTTGTGTTTTAAGTTTGTGCAAAAACTATATGATATTTCTAGCAAATTATTACACCACAGTAACAAAATTTCAATTTCAAAAGATATGAGCAGACATACAAACAAAATATATGTTAATAAAAATACATAAATATTCATGTGTTGTCATAATCATTTTATTATCAAATTATCATTTAATTAATTGTGAATAATTAATAGCTACAGTTATTTATTACAGCTTGAAAAATAATTTATTCATCAGATAATTCACAAAAGTTCACGAAATATAAAAATTCATTTTAAACACAAAGAGCCGTAAGCACGTAATAACATCTGTCATAAATAACGGTAGTGACAACTTTTTACGACGCACTTTTTTGAATATGTATGTATTTTAATTAGGAGAGTCGACGAAAAAGAATATTACTTGGTAAAAAAATAAATCATGTAGTTTACCACATAATTAGACGAAATATATTATTAACTGGGAAGTGAGAAAATATACAAATGAAATCTTAATCTTATTGTTAGTAATTGCAGCATGCAGTTTAATCTTTAGCCATAATTAAAATCAGTTTTAATGATTGTAAAAGATTACATATCAAAAAACAATAGAACACGTGTAAACATTGGTTTTAAATGCGCAATTTAATTAAAACAAATACAATTGCGAAAATGTTGATTCTTTAAGACCATAATTGGAAATCATGATTTCCACCGAATAAAATAATAGCGTGATATAAATATTAATCATTGATTAAATGGAACAAGTTTCTTTTTTATCAATAAGTGCACTGAATAGTTTAACGATGTCAGTTAATAATTTTCAAGGCGATGAAAAATATGTACATAAATATTTATACTTACACGAATTAAAAAGAGAATTTCGTGTATAAATTAAGACAAAAAATTAATCTATTAAGTATTAGTAATTACTTTTATATAATGATTTCTAAAGATAGAAACAAAACATTTTAATAAAATTTCATTCTCAAGCTTTATTTTTCGTTTATTAACGATGTTATTTATTATTTTCACCTTATTTTTTTTAAATTAAAAATATAATGAAATTGTTAAAAAAATGTCACAGGTACTAGCGATGGCATTTTTTATTAGTACGGGCAATTTTCTTTATGAAAACATATACTCGCACTTATTCAAAAATATTCCAAGCAATAGAGTTGTATTTTTTATTTGTATGGACAATTAATTTTGTTCAAGTAAAAATATATAAATAATATAATTAGACATAATAGAATAGCTAGAGAATTGAACTTCATATCAGTAATAAAAATATTACAACATTTTTTTAATTTATTTATTTAGAACAGTCAGAATCAAATGGTTTTCTATGAGTTAGAGGGCAAGTTATAATAGCAATATTTATAAAATAATAGTAGTTATGGTGATAATAAGAAAACAGATAATAAATACAGAATAAAAATAATCCATACAAATAAAAATAAAATAATAATAGTCACAATAATTGTACCAGATCATTTGATAGTTTAATTCGTTAAAAACAAAAATCGTTATATGAAGTAGAGAAAACAGAAGAAGAAGTTAGAAGTTATATAATAATAAAAATAATAAAAAACCATAATAAGAATTTATTTAAAAAAAGTCACAGTCATGATTTCACTGTTTCAGTGAGTATACTGAAGTTTTCCAACATTTGATGGTTTAGAATTTGATCTTATTTTTAGAATTAGTTCATAGGTAAATTGTTTATTCTGATTGATTTTATAAAGAAATTATTTAAAAAAATAAATATTCAGTACAAGTAAAGCGTGACTTGTTGTTAGAACTTATTGCTATTCATAAATAACAACGCAGGATTTAGGCCAGTAAAGGCGCGCCCATTTTCTTAACATATTGTTGAATAAACAATTTGAATATTGCCCATTGTAAAAGAAATAATGTTATATATACATAAATTAATTAGAATACATAAATTTAAAAAAGTATTTCTATTATCACACGTTGTTCTTTTATCTTTGCAGAACTTAACATCAATCTTTGACCCAGATACAAATTTTATCGCATGCAATAAAAGTTATCAAAATCTTTGTTCCAGCGCGTAACAGTTATGTTAATTAAGCACGATATGAAAAGTTACTCTACTTATGTTATCATCGGGTATCCATTATATTCAGATTTCCTGCGTACTACTACACCACACAATATAAACACTAGGAATCTTTTACAAAAACATCGTTCCTTTCAACTCGAACTCGGAAAACAGAACTTTGTTTGTTAAACGTGCACACTCGCGCCGGAACTCGCGCAGATGACTGCGAGAGGCCGAACGGTGAGAAGAGAGGCTGCGAGAGATCGGGCCGGTGGGGACTTGAGCCGGTTTAACCATAACATACAATATACAAACGAATCAATGTTTTGATTTACGATAGACTAGGATCTAACGAGGTAGTAATAGTAATAGATTCGATTTGGGTTGAAAAAATCCTTGGAATTCCATAGACACTTTTGGTGCAAAGATTGAAAGCCTCTTGGGGGTTGGAAGAGAGTTGAAGATTCATAAATGCACAAATCATGAAAATTTTATATAGTTGAATTGTTAAATAGATTAGATAATCGACTATAATGAACCGTTTGCAAAAATATTCGCTATGTTCTAGACTAGTGATTTACAAAGTGGTTCACATAGACCACCAGGGGTCCATGACAACATTCAGAGGGTTACACTTGAGCGAAAAAAATTTAACATGAAAATAAAAAATAACATCGATAATGGCATCTACTTTCTCACAATGAAAGAATGAAATTTTATTAGAATGTTTTGTTTCTATTTTTAGAAACCATTATATAAAAGTTTTGTGTATAATTATTAAAATATTGATTTTTCTTCATATTCTTCATTATATTTCTTAATATATATTTCAATTATGATTATGTATCACAATATACCAAGTTTATACCTAGTTAATTATACTATCTTTATTAAAAAGTCAATACAATATTTAATAATATTATATACAATATTTATAAGGAGAACTAAAAAGTAAGTAAAAACATAGTTTTATTTTATAAAACTATATAAGTTGCAGCATAAGTAGGCTTTCGACTAGTGGTTTTACAATAATTTATAAAAATGGTGAATAGAACTTCCATGATAAAGCCCGAAGGGTCTACGACACGAAAAAGTTTGGGACCCTATGAATCTATGATATAGTATGTATGAACAAATAGTTTAGACTCTGGAACATTTCTTTCATCTGTGTAAATTTTTATTTGATATGTTGGTATGGTATGTCTTTTACCGCGATGGAAATTCTTGTCGAACTACTATCATGTACCGGTAAGGCGACATTCAAATAATTTAACTAAACAAAATTCTACTTTGCATGCTGCTATCGAACTGTCTTGTACTCGTACGTAGGCTCGACAATGTTCTTTACGTTTCAATGACATTTATATATTCAATACTAAACATCTTATAGCGAGTACTAAACCTTTCTCATACTGTAGATTTATGGAAATTTTAATCTCTTGAAGGTGAAAGAAGCATATAATGTTAGCGCGTTCTATCTTTGCTAGGTTTTACGTCGAATACGAAACTTGTATCATAAATTGTAATGTTGGTTTAGAGCTTTTTGTTGTTACCTATAACAGAACGGTTATGAAGATAGTCTTATGGGATGAGTTTTCTTAAAAGAAAATGTATAAACGATATGGCTAAAATTTTGCTAATTGATAATTATTTACAAGCAAAACATAAATCATCCGATTCAAGTTAGGTTCAAATTGTCTGGTTTCTGAAAACACCATACCTTTAGAAACCACAAAGATATTTTTGCTCGACGTTGAAAAAAAAGAGATAAATATGAAATACATAAACAAAATAAATAAATAAATAAGTTTACTTTTAAACAAATGGATTGTTATTCTCGGTTTGCATCCGAAGGGCCGGCCGTTCGTGGTCTAATGCGCTGGGAGCGGCCCCGGCGCATCGCGAGGAACGCGGCCGCCGCACGGTGCGCCGCTTTCGACATACGCCGAGTGTCGACCAGGAAGAGACGGGGCTCTGCTTCATCCAAACACACAGAGGACTATTATCAACGTACGAATATATTCACGTAGAGATTCTCTCAACCAGTAAACATACTGGAACTTATGCTGACAAAGAAATATCCCGCATTTTTTAATGAAATCATAAAGTTAGATCATGAACCTAATACATATTTGTTTCTCAATAACGTTGTTAATTTAACAAATTTTAAACAGCTTCTAGAAAAAAACGAAGATTTTACGTAAAAACAAAGCAATATGGTTTATATGTCACTTATTCACAAATTAACGTATTTTATGCGATTTTTTAATCAGCTATCAGAAATAACTAGGTGGTTTATAGGCTATTGGGATTAAGTATGTTTATAGAGATATATTATAAAATATCATATTATATTATATTAGAAAAATATATTATAAATATCAACTTTTGTTTCAAATATAAAAAACTCACATGTTTGTCACATAAATGTCTCCATTATAGCTTTTACATATCAATCTGCATACAGGCTTGTAATTTACTAACACCAGATCCTGAAAAAAACAAATATATATTATATTAATGAAATATAATATTGTTCAATGCCATATTTTATTTGAAAACTTTAGTTAAAATATCAAAAACTCACATGTCATATAAATGTCTTCGTTGTAGCTTGTAATTTCTTCATAATTCTAGAAATTCTGTAAAAAAGCAAAACATGTATTAGTTATATTTATATATAATTCTCCAATAGGCTATTTCTATTTGATATCTATATATATATAATATGAAGTGAAAAGCTAATAACAATACAACTTGATATCATGCTGACCTGTATGGGTACCGATCCCGGACCAATGCACCTTAAAATTATAATTGCGTGGAAAAATCTCAATTTTTTTTAAGACTCATCACTTTTCATTACACCAAAATAAAAATAACGAAACTTTCGCCAAAATATTTGAAATTATTGGTGTCATAGATATTGATATTTATATTTTTATATTCATATTTATTTATTACCAACATGGTTCCATGATCTGATATATGATACTAGTGATTATACGTATTTAATTAATTTCAAACTATTAAATTTTGTTGAAAAATTATATATATTCAGATTTTTCATAATTTATTCAAATTAAATATTCAAAAAACATGATGTTCAAACATAGGTATACAACGTTTAGAAATTCTCGTATATAAAGAATTTCTTCAAAGTTTTAAATTGTCCCAATCATTTATAGGTGCTCGTAAATCATTCTTAAGTGACAATGCTTGAAATGATTATTGTTTTCAGTCATTTATCACTTTTTCTGAACGCCAGGTAAGAAGTTCTACTTCCATACCTTGTACAAGAACATTGTGGTCGCTCGTTTTCCGCGTTCTGACAGCATAACACATCGACAATTACCCGTATTTCTTTTATGAAGTAAAAAAAACTGTACTTTTAAGTGAGCACTTACGTATTTTGAATACGAGGCAGTTATACAGAGAAATATTCACGGGAAAATGAATCTAAACTATCTACGAGATTGTTGAAATACAACTAGGTAATAAAAAGAATAAAACTTGTTGTGAAATTAAAAACTAGAAAACTGATGTAAATAATTTTTATACAATGTATTAAAAATTAGAACAATTGAACAAAACTAGAAATTATGTTTTCATTTGCAGAGAGTTTGCAACAAAAAATCATATTCATAACTACGATTCAATAATCCCAAATCATTTGCTACAATAAGCGGATCCTAATTCATTAAATTTCTTCTAAGTCGGGAAATAAAATTTTTATAATTAATTTATTAATATAAATTGATCTGGACTATGAACTTATTCTACTCTATCAAAACAGATGGATTTAGTTTTGATGATTACGAAGTTATCAAAGTAGATTATTGTATAAGCAAGTTGCGTAAACAAAATTTAAATGAGATTTAATTTTTATTTTCAAGTCATTGTAAATGGTAATTTATTGCGCAAATTGTATACGTTGACCAACACATTTAGCAATGGGTAGTAGATTTTAATGGTATCATATATTGGTTATCTTGTGTGTAAATTTAATTTCATGCCTTCATCAATTATAAAACCTATATTATTTTCATTTTAATTTGATGACAAGTTTACCAGAAAATTTCATTACCTATGATATGATGTATGATATACTATGATGTGTAAGTTATCCACAACGAACGATGCAATTTCTTCAAAGTTGAAATGAGCTTTATAATTGAAATTAAATCAACTAAATCGATTAAGCACCTGAATACCTGTTCGTTCGAGATCGATTTCAGTTAAAGCACGTCCGTCATCGTGCACATTTGTGGGGCAGATTGTAAGCGATCGAGTTGCGCGAATTTGCGGAACACCATTGACACGGCTCGATCGAAGATCGCAGAACCGAGAACGGTGCCGATGTACCGTTCTTTCATCGCAACTCATGTTAAGGAATGGAATGGAATGCCATGACGGCTCTCTCCCTTTCCGACGCTCGCAAATGTGCGAACCCGCGGGAAATGGTTAAGTCCTTCGAACTTACTCATCCACATGCCGATGAATATGACGTATAATGATAATAATAGATGGTAGTCTGATCGAAGGCAGGTCCTATGGCGTGAGCACCACCACGATTAAATGATTTTACCCTTCGGCGTTATTATTCCCATTACCACTATTTCCCCACCCCATTTTTACACTTTTTTCATGTACTTTCCGAACTTCTGATTCCATGCTTCTTGATCCTTTGCTTCGGCTTTCAGTTCTTTGTGTTTTCTCTTCTCGCGTAAGTCGTCAATCATCTGCATTCTTTTTCCCCCATTCTTTTAATCCTACTATTGTACCTTCTTCTACGTCGTTTTCAAAATGGGTCCGATCCAATTACCTTTTTTTTCAGAATCCTGCTCAGTAGATCCTTCTTCACCCACTCTTCTCAGGACTTCTTTATTTGTTACCTTGACTGTCTACTTTATCTACTCTATTCGCCTCCAGCACATTTCATAACTCTCCAGGTAGTTCTTGTAGGCCTTTCTCATAGTCCATGCTTCTGATCCTGGCACTTTATTCCGTGTTTTTCGCAAGGCAAAATTTGTATATAATATTATACTATATAAATATAATAATAATCATCCTCATGCCAACACAGAACTAATCCTTTTCTATCATCTAAAGTTACGTTTTTCTTCAAAATATTTATATCACAATAGAATTATTGTAGATAAGTGCATAGTACAGTTTAATTTATATTATAAAATTTCATATCGTGACTTAGAAGAAATTTAATAAATTAGGATACGCATATTGCAATTGACGTACTGTTTTGAATTATTTTGATGTGATTATAAATATTTTTTGTTACAAACTCTGCAAATGAAAAAATAATTTCTAGTTTTATTTTATCAATAAATTTTCAGCTATAGTTCTATTTAAAATTTCTAATATACAGTACAGAAATTATTTACATCAGTTCTCGAATTTTAAGTTCATAACATGTTTTATTATAGTTCTCGAGTTTTAAGTTCATAACATGTTTTATTACTAACTTTGAATTAATTATCTTCTTGAAAAGAAAAAATGAAATAGTATAATAATAATAGAAATGCTGTAAATAAAAATATAGAATGGTCTAGAAATGCAAATATATAATTATATAAGCCTGAGCAAAAAAAGCTATGCTAATATAAAACTAAAACGACTTTAAGCCTAATAAACAACATCTTAGTCCATGACATATTGTTTGAATAATGTTAATATATTATAATATATTAAATTTTTGGATTTGAAGTTAAATAAAGTCTTGAGATGCTTTGGGGAAAAGTATAGAGAATAAAGTGCAAAAATAATTGTAGCATAAATTGCACAAAAATAAATTTTAGTATTAATGTTAATGTATTATAATATATTAAATGTTTTGGATTTGAGAGAAAGTATAGAGAATAGAGTATAAAAAAAAATATGGTTAAATAAATATTAATTTAGAAACAGTTAAAAGGAATCCTTAAGATAGCTTTGAAAATAAAATAGAAATTCTCCATGAAAAGTTGTAGGCAGTTTATTAGCAAAATATCGTTTGAAGTTTGTACAGAGAGATTAGAATTCCTGATCAACTAAAAAATCGCAAAAGTTTCCATAAGTTATTTTTAATTCTGAAAACTAGATAAAATCTCAAATTTGCGTATATCTCCGAGCAAAGATTTAATTAACATAAAATTTACATTTCACTATCAATTTTCTATCACAAGATTCAATGAAATTAAATTTTTATCCGAACAATGTCCACTTTGCATAAAACATATGTCTCGGCTCTCGGGCCGATCCTCTCGGGCACTTCGCACGCCCGACTTGTGCCTCCGCAAGAAGTGTGTCAATAGAAATGGAATTTTTCATAATTTATTTTCATGGCTTGTATTCGTGCATTTCTCTGAAGTCGAACTTCAGAAGATCGCACCAATGCACGTCACATACGGCAATAGTTATAAATATGCATGTTTTCTTTGACTTTCACCTTTATTATGTCTTGTTTAGAGGAATCGGATGCTTCTGGTTTTGAATTAGGGCAACAGGTATGCTGTAAAGGTTTGTTTTGATCTATTTTAGTAGAAAAGAGTTGAAAGCATAAAAACTTGGGAATAAACACATTTTGATAGAAGATAACGGAAAAGGCGCAGATATTCAAAAAAATACACACACATTTTGAAAATCAAAAATACACGAATACTTTTGATTTCAAATTCCTACAAACGCTGCTTTATGAAAATAAAACTGTGCGTCTCTATAAATCTGACTTATAAGTTGTATTTATTCATAAGTAAATAAAACCTGATTTTTGTATTAAAAATGAACATAATTCCGTTCCGACTAGTAAAAGCTGTCAGGTGAGAACGCGCATATATTACCGCATTAATATACCAAAAAAAACTTGTTCCAAACTCTAATCTACAGTTCAAGGCCGATTATTTGATTCATCTGATGATAATATTTGATATTTGTCCTCTCGAATAATTAGATATTGATCTGTTTGTGATTCTATTATTACGTCTTTGAACATTGATCAATACATTTGTATCTAGATTGAATTGATTTGATGATTTTAAGGTCAATCGAATTATATAAACAATATCTTTCTGGCGTATGTAAGAAATCAGATAAAACTTTCTTCCACGTATCATAGCAAATTTTCGATAGATAAAAATCTTTATAATCGAAATATATTAAATATTTGTAAAAATGCATAAAATAGTCAAACACTTGACGAAACATTTGGCACTTATTTGGCTGACTATAAAGAAACGATTGAGAAAATGCCAATGGAAGATCAAATTTTGTCTTATATATACACATACTTTTGCAATTAATATTCATAAATAAATTAATAAGCAAATTAATAAATAAATAATTCTTAAGATGAGTTGTTGCCAATTATGTGCAGAATGCAAGCAATAAAAAAAGGCACGCCAAATTAATTGTAAAAACTTTTAGTATATTAGTTCGTTAAAATGAATATATTTGTTTTTCTTCTTTTTACTTAATTTTCTTATTTACTTTCACATATGTAATGCATTATTTGATGTCGTAAATAAAACACTCACATTAATATGCGTACAAGCGGATGTCGTCAATCATCCAATGAATAATATAAAGATTTAGCATACATAAATCTTTATACAAATAAAACAAATCTTACGATATATTCTTATTATTTTATTTCAATCACATACCGCGTTTATTAAGACCATCCGAAGAAGCTTTTGATGAAATCGATTATTGTGTCAACATCAAAGCCTAAATTTTCCAATTTATCAATTAGAGCCAAAATTTCTGGAGAGTTTTCTACAAAATCGATAATTTTTTGAAAATCAGTAGATTGAATGCGGGTCATTAGATTCTGGAAGTCCTCGCTATTGTCCATTTTGTCGAAGAATAAGATCATAAAATCGGTTAAAGGTAACATGTCCTTAATTTTATTCACCAATTCCTTGAGACCACCTGTGGAAATTGGAATTTCATCGTTGTAATTGATGGATCTTGGTTCCAAGGTCTGGAGACCTAAATAGTCAGCAATTTTGTTCAAAAGCTCTACAATGTCCAGGCCGCTTTCCTAGAATGTAATGAAATTAAAAATTAGATAAAAGCCTGTTTTAAAAGTATCAAATGCAAATTTAGATTGCATAGCTATTAGTTTATTAAAGAAACATATGTATGTGATATAAACGATTTTTATAAATTAGTCACCATTGTAAAATATATTGCAATCTATTTTTAATTTAATAATGATAAATTCATTTAAGAAATCTTCAAATATGTTTACTTAAAAAAACATTACCTGTAAATAATCCAGAATTTCCAAAATATCCGGATGTTCGACAGCATACTTCCAGGCTTTGGCAAATTCATCCGATTTCAGATATTCGTATGCCTCTTGCACTTCGGAATCGTTGTCTAAATATTCTTGCACAGTATTTCTAATTTGTTCAAAGGGAATAAGATCTAGAAAGTCCTGAAGATCGTCCTGTAAGGAACGTTGTTCGAGAGAAGGTAACGAGTGCGCAAAAACTGCACAAAATCCAGTTGCTAGGAAGAAGATGATTCGCAAATGCATCTGCAACGACAGAAAACAATAGTGCTGTGGTAAAGCATAAATTCGAAATTATATATGCTTGTAAAGTATAATATTTTTGCACTCATATTAAACAGCACTAGTCTATTATTTTTTTTATTTTTGCAAAAGCTTTTCGCTCCTGTACCTTGTTGTGTGACTTGAACGCGACTTATGTCAGGATTACAATACACAGGATGTCGTTGATGTAAGTCCATTTATAGGGCCGCCTATTGCGGACTTTTAAAAAGATCTTAAGAACACTTGATATGTCGTGATATGTTTTAAGTGGCAATCCTTATTGCACTTCAAACGATATAGATATACGTCATCATTTTAATTTGAACTATTTTATGATTTATGATATCGTTAATTTTATGTACAAACTATGGCAAATAATAAGAGAATGAAAACATCGATGTATAAATGCGTAGAAGGCTATTTTATAACTCTAAAGTTCTTTTCTCACTGCGAGTTATTATTAACATTTTCGCTCCAAGTGTTCTATATTATTACCTGCTAAATAAATTTTCTATCATTATTTACTTACTTATTCAAATTTCTACATGTTTTCAATTAATTCAATTAAAATATATCATCACAAATCTGTTCTAGAAGTATCTATAAATCAGATCGTGATAAAAGCGAACTGAAAATAAATCACTTATCTTACGAAACTGATACCAAATATTTGAACCGATTACGAGATATCTTCAAATTTTAAAAATATATCAGTTTATCTAATTGTATATAAAGAACGCAAATTCTGAAAAAAATCAGTTGTGATCATTTAGTTGTCAACTATACAAGGTAAGAATATTACTAATATATATTGAATTGTAGCTTATTTTGAAAAAGCTACAAAATTATCATTTATTACAGATGAAAGTTATCGCTATTCTGTGCGCCGTCATCGGCCTCTCTTACGGGTTTACCTTACCTGAACCCACAAACAGAGGTCTTGTACAAGATGTAGATGACTTTTTGGCTCTGATCCCAGTTGACAAAATAACTGCCATCGTCAAGGAATACATTGCCAATGACAAGGAAGTGCAACACATTGTAGAATACTTGAAAAGTGACAAATTTGAAGTCATTGTTGTCAAAATCGCCGCCGTCCAAGAAATCAAAGATTTCGTCCACTACTTGGAAGGCAAAGGTTTGAAAGTCATCGAGCTCTTGAACAAGATTGCTGAACTTTTGGGTCTGCCCACCATCCCAACCAGAAATGCACCAACCACCCGTGGATGGCGTGACATGGCCGATGAAATCATCGCCCTTTTGCCCTTGGACAAAATCGTCGCCACTTTCTACGACAAGATGGAGAACTCTCCTGAATTCGCCGAAGCTTTCCAAAAGATTGCTGACTCCTATGATGTATTCGCCAAGATCGCCAAATTCCCAGAAGTCATTGAATTGGCCAACCGTCTCCGTGAATTAGGTGTTGATGTAGATGCCATTATTGATTTCTTCAAAAGCTTCTTCGGATGGTCTCGCCAAGCCCGTGAAACCCGCGGACTTGTACAAGATGTTGATGATTTCTTAGCTCTCATCCCAGTTGACAAAATCGCCGCCATCGTCAAGGAATACATTGCCAATGACAAAGAAGTCCAACATATCGTAGAATACTTGAAAAGTGACAAATTTGAAGTCATTGTTGTAAAGATTGCAGCTGTCCAGGAAATCAAAGACTTCGTCCACTACTTGGAAGGAAAAGGCTTGAAAGTCATTGAGCTGTTGAACAAAATTGCTGAACTTTTGGGTCTCCCAACCATCCCAACCAGAAATGCACCAACCACCCGTGGATGGCGCGACATGGCCGATGAAATCATCGCGCTATTGCCTTTGGACAAAATTGTTGCCACTTTCTACGACAAGATGGAGAACTCTCCTGAATTCGCAGAGGCTTTCCAAAAAATTGCTGACTCTTATGATGTATTCGCCAAGATCGCCAAATTTCCAGAAGTCATCGAATTGGCCAACCGTCTCCGTGAATTGGGTGTTGATGTAGATGCCATCATTGATTTCTTCAAAAGCTTCTTTGGATGGTCTCGCCAAGCTCGCGAAACCCGCGGACTTGTACAAGATGTTGATGACTTCTTAGCTCTCATCCCAGTTGACAAAATCGCCGCCATCGTCAAGGAATACATTGCCAATGACAAAGAAGTCCAACACATCGTAGAATACTTGAAAAGTGACAAATTTGAAGTTATTGTTGTCAAGATTGCAGCTGTCCAGGAAATCAAAGACTTCGTCCACTACTTGGAAGGAAAAGGCTTGAAGGTCATCGAACTGTTGAACAAAATTGCTGAACTTTTGGGTCTCCCAACCATCCCAACTAGAAATGCACCAACCACCCGTGGATGGCGCGATATGGCCGATGAAATCATTGCCCTCTTGCCTTTGGACAAAATTGTTGCCACTTTCTACGACAAGATGGAAAACTCACCTGAATTCGCCGAGGCCTTCCAAAAGATCGCTGATTCTTATGATGTATTCGCCAAGATCGCCAAATTCCCCGAAGTCATCGAATTGGCCAACCGTCTCCGTGAATTGGGTGTTGATGTAGATGCCATCATTGATTTCTTCAAGAGCTTCTTCGGATGGTCTCGCCAAGCCCGTGAAACCCGCGGACTCGTTCAAGATGTTGATGACTTCTTAGCTCTCATCCCAGTTGACAAAATTGCTGCCATCGTCAAAGAATACATCGCCAACGACAAGGAAGTCCAACACATCGTAGAATACTTGAAAAGTGACAAATTTGAAGTCATTGTTGTCAAAATCGCTGCCGTCCAAGAAATCAAAGATTTCGTCCACTACTTGGAAGGTAAAGGATTGAAAGTCATCGAACTTTTGAACAAAATTGCCGAACTTTTGGGTCTCCCAACCATCCCAACCACAAGCGCACCAGCCACCCGTGGATGGCGCGACATGGCCGATGAAATCATCGCCCTCTTGCCTTTGGACAAAATTGTTGCTACTTTCTACGACAAAATGGAAAACTCACCTGAATTCGCCGAGGCCTTCCAAAAGATCGCTGACTCCTACGATGTATTCGCCAAAATTGCCAAATTCCCAGAAGTCATCGAATTGGCCAACCGCCTTCGTGAGTTGGGAGTTGATGTAGATGCCATCATTGACTTCTTCAAGAGTTTCTTTGGATGGAACTAAGTAAAACTTGTTGTAAACTATGATTAAAACATTATTGTATTTTATTATTTTAAATACACTTTGTTAGCAAAAATATTTAATTGTTTCTATATTGTAGCTACATAAATCTCTTTCAGGTTAATAATAATTTTTCACTTAATATAGTTGCGAAAATTTACAATGATCTATTGCAATTTTATCATTCTTTCATAGGTTTCTTAATAGTGATTTTAATAGTGATTGATTAATTAAAATTGACGGTGTGTTTACATGCTAAATCTTAAATGCAGTCCTCCTTCTAGCTGGCGCAACCGGGACCAGCTTAGAAAAGGCGCTGTGCCTAACCCAGACACCCACGGCAGTCAGCGGCAAATGCTATAAGCGAAACATGTGCTATATCGAAATACATTGAAAGTGTAAACGAACACGATTATGTGACGTTAGATTGTGACAAAGTTATGGGAAATGTCAGCGCCAAGGATTTACATGGCAAAGGGAGCAGAAAAAATGTCCATTGGAAATCTGCAGGTATTTAGTGTACACTTATTACTCTAAATCTAAGTTTATTAATTAACATAGGATTTAACCAGACTGACGAGCATTTTAGCTCGTACTCTAACGCACCTATTTTTAGCGCGGTATGCAGTATTGTGTATACTAGTCAATTTATAAACTATGTTCCACATTACCAGCCGATAGTTGTCTCACTTGTAAATGTATTATTGGATTAATGTATGAGGAACTATTGTTTAAGTAACAGTTTTTCTAATTATATAATATTATTAGACATAAAGAATAAAACTTTTCAATATACTAGGTTTGGCTTGTATATCATGTCAATTAATCATTATATGTGATTAAAATTCTTGTGTATATGTACATAACTGTATATATACTGTGTATATATATATATATATATATATATATACATAAACATATATATACATTACCTCCTTTCTTTTTATTTTTTCAAAAAAAATGTCATTTTAGATATTTGCTCTCTAAACGTTTTCTACGTCTCTGAGATCATTAAAAATTTCAAATTTTAAATAAATGTTTGATACTCTGAGTTACAAGTGTGCATAGTATATATACATTAAAAAACATTATTTAAATTTCTTAAAAATGTATGTTTATTGTATGTTTAGATATTTTGCATGTATACGTTAATCGTCTGTGTCTGTAAATAAATATCTTTTCTTGATAAATTTATGATGTTTGGAAAATCGTGTTATGTCTATTCCTGAATTTATTATTTGTAAAACCAATGCTATAAAATTTGTCTAATTTGCAGAGCATCCATCTCCGCCCGGGAAACCTTTAATGATATCCGATGTCGAAGGGAGTAACGTGACTATGTGCTGGGTGCCCCCAAGATCAGATGGAGGTGCCCCATTAACAGGATATATTGTTGAACAACGTATCACTGGTTCACCACATTGGACCAGTGCCATACCAGCCACTGTATCTCAACCAGAAGTAACACCGCAAGGTAAAAAATAAAAAGGAGAAATGACATTAACATGTCGACAATCGCTAGAATAATATTCATGAATCACTCTTTATAAAATTTATAAGATTATATATACCAAATATTATACGACTACAAATGTGATTTGTTAAATTGACACTTTTAATAATTATAATATTTATCTAGGTTTAGAGCCCGGAAGGCGGTATCAATTTCGCGTGGCGGCGGCGAACGCCACTGGATATTCTGAATTCAGTGAGCCCTCGGAGCCCCTGACCGTGACCGTGGGAGGGGCTGTTTGCGCGCCCGCATTTTTGGCGGAACTGAGAGACGCCACTGTGTCGGAAGGCGAACGAGCCGAATTCGAAGCCCGCGTTCTCGGAGTTCCTGCACCGACAGTGGCTTGGTTCAAAGACGGTTTCGAAATATTCAGCAGCCGACGTGCTAGAATAACAACAGAGGTAAGATTCGAAAATTTTGGTAAATAGCTGTTTGTATAATCATGTTTGAAGAAATTTGATTTGAGAATAATAGCAGTAAATTAGATTAGATAGAGGAGTTATATTTTATTAAGTCGTTGATAAAACGACATGTAAATTGTTATGATCATATTATTGGATTGATTGGAGAATATAAATTAGAGCCACTAAATTAATTAAAATAAAATTAGAGTACATTTCATTAATGAGTCAACAGAACTCTAAAGAAAACACTCAAGATAATAGTATTGTTATTAAGGCGTCAATGATTCAGTAGTTATATCTTATCAAATTGTTTATATGTCCTAATTACATTTCTAATTTTTTTTTCTAATTATCGATTGTTGAAATGATATTTTGAAATTTATACGTCTCACAGTCTGTATAATCCATGCTAAATGTTTACTAAACTATATAAAAATCCCAATTCCGGACTGTATTGTATACAGTCAAAATATTAAATAGTTTTATTATTTAAACACAAAAAATACAGTTGATTTTTTGCATAAACTGCAATAGATTTTTTTTTTCATTTTTTAAGTTTAGTTAAAATAATTTTTTAGACATTGCGGTCGTTAAGAGTGATTTTATAAAATGAATAAATAAATTGTTTAACTGCCTATGTACTAGATTTGCATTTTATTATCAGGTATATTTCCTCATAAAAGTTTTCAATATCGTTAATTTTAGGAGAATCGCAGTGTTCTGACAATACACCAAACATCATTAAACGACGAAGGTGAAATCAAATGCACGGCCACAAATCACGCCGGTCACGCCGTCACTCGCGCTCGCCTTCGCGTCGAAGCACCGCCGGGCGTGCGATTGCCCCGGCGCTACGAAGAGGGACTTCTGTTCGAGGCCGGAGAATTAATGAAGCTAAAAGTGGCGGTCGCTGGACGGCCGGAACCTAGAATCACCTGGACGCATGATGGAGAAACCATAGTCAACGGTACAAGAATCGAGGTACACTTATATTTACTCATTGATATTTCAATTCATTTTTTAAATTTATTTCTAACAATTTAGATAGAGTCCGGGGTGCCGGACTCCGCATAAAAAACGCATCGCGTGTCGATCGCGGTGAGTACAGGGTACATGCAATTAATCCTCTCGGGGAAGATTCAGCAGCATTTTTAGTAACGGTGACTGACAAACCACGACCTCCCGGCAAACCTGTTGTTACAATGAGTCTCGGAAAATCAGCGACTCTGACCTGGCGTGAGCCAGAAGACGACGGCGGTTGCAAAATTGGCAATTACATTGTTGAATATTTCAGAACTGGTTGGGACGTTTGGCTAAAAGCTGCCGCAAGCAGGCAGCTTACAGCCACTTTAGGAGATTTACTTGAAGGTTCGGAATATAGATTCCGTGTTAAAGCTGAAAACCCATACGGTCTTAGCGAACCAAGCCTGCCTTCAGAACCTTTATTCATCCCCGATCCATTCAGGGGTATAACTAAGGTACAAGAAATTAAAATTCCTTCAGATTTAGATGCGCCACCGGTTGCCCCGAGAAGAAAACGTGCTACGACATCCGCGTCGTCGTCGAAGAGTTCATTAAGCGAAGATAAAGGAGTTCAAACTCCTATAAACAAGGATAATAGTATTGTCATGGCCTCAAAAAGTCCTGTCACAGATGTAGGAATACAAAAGTCAATAGCTGTTAATTTATTCGACAGATCTTCTGTAACGCGTGAGCTGTCGTATGGAAGTCCTGATACAGTTTATAAGAAAAGGCTTTCGGCAAATCTGAATGAAGAAGAACATGTTGAAGAGATACAAAAATCAGAACTCACAGAACTAAAAAAGCCTGAAAGTAATGGAAATAGTTTATCGCCGAATGTAATTAGAGAACCTTCTTCACCGAGAGAAAATGATGATGAACTGCAAGGAAGTTCTGAATTCATGCTTGTATTATATCCTGATAAACCCGAATCATTGCAAAATAGAGGTAAGAAATAAGCTGTAATATGTCAAGTCGTCAAAGTTTGTTTTTTTTATCAAATATTAGTGAAATGGTTTTAAAATATGTATTATTCTCACCAGGTAATCAATATGAATTCGATGATGATGATTACGGAGCTCCGCCAACACTTTCCCTATCTAATCCGGAATTGGGCACCAGGCCTCCAGAAATGCCGATGTTACGCTACGCCGTCAGTTCTACTGAACTCTTATATGAGCGTGCGATGGCTAGATTTTATCGTGCAGCTGAAAAAGAAAAAAATCGAGAATTATTAAGGGCGGGCAGCGAACCCCAGACTTTAGGAGAAGTTCAAAGAAGAGGATCTTTAAGAAGAAAACCATCTGGTGCTGAGCAACAGAAACTTTTGCAGATGCAAGAGAGAAGATTAAGTTTAAAATTAGGAGATGAACTGGAATTAAGAGCTAGTCCAACACCCAACTTAATCACAGGAATTGTTTTGAATGGTGTAGTTGAAACTTCAGAAAATCCAACCGAAAATGATATTAAAGACCCCGAGGAAAACAAAAGATTTATCAGAGATCATTCTGTAGAGGAAGATTATACAGAAAGTACAGCTTCTTCGGATAGTGAATCCCAAGATGAACGTTTTAAATTGTTATTCAAAAAAATAAAAGAATTAGACGATGATGAAGAAGACACTTATCATCCTAGATCAATGCTTCCTACAAATAATAATTCACAAGCGGCAGAAGTATTAAATAAATTGGCACCGCTTCCTGACCCAGACTTTGTACCGAAACCTATTCTGAAACCACAGCCTAATGATAAATTAAAGACACCGCCAGCAAAACCCGAACGAAAAAGCTTAATAAGTAAGCCACTAAATGATGGATTGCCACAAATTAACGTAGTCCCTCCAGAGGAGAAAAAAGAAATAGCAAAACCATTGGACAATGTGCAAAAGCGTAAACTGGAATTGAGACAAAAGTCCGAGGAAGAAAATAAGGTTGTTATCGATCATTATGCGGATTTAGTGAGACAAGTTAGTACAAGCAAGAAACAATTTGATTCGAATGACGGATCAAATTACACGGAATCTTTGAAAAACAATAATGTGATATCAGAACAAAGCAATGTTGTATCGATTGCAGAAATAAAGGAACCGCTTATTAATCATAATACCAATAATAAAAATCTGATTAGAAGGCAAAGACCCCTATCTAAGGATCGTACAAGCACTGTAGATGATAATAAAAGAAATCGAGAAATTTCTAAAGACAGAGTAAACGTTAGAGGTCGAGAACATTCAAAAGATAGAGATAATCTTAGAAATAGAGGCAATTCAAAAGACAGAGGAGTATCGAAAGATAGAACAGTCAGTACAAGAATTTCCCGATATGAGGATGTAAAACATATAGAACGAAATAGAAGTGAATCCAGATCGCCTACAAGACAAATAAAAAACAAAACTATCACCACAAACAGTAGGGTAAGAAATCCGTCAAAGACGAGAAAACGAAGTGAGTCAAGATCTCCAACAAGACAAAAAGAAATAATATATCAAAATACCCCTTTGCATAATGAGAGATGGCAGGCAAAAGCTGACAATGTTTCCCAAGCTGTTGCTGAAGCAAACGTGCGTTCTGTATTTGCCTATCTCACAGATTTAGCAATGTTTCTATTGGCCTGTTGGTTATACATCTTCAAAGATGCACGACTTGCTATTCCAATTTTAGCACTTATGATCTACAGACAACTCGGAGAGGAGCTGCAAAAAAGAATGCCGCAATGGATCGTTAAAAAATGGCAAAAGTGAAATAAATTATATATGGATTACGATAGGTAATACCTCAGACAATACTTAGTCATAAAGTCATACTTTTCAGTTTTATCATATCTACTGCACAGACGTCTTCATGTATCTATTACAATATATATATATATATATATATATATATATATATATATATCAAATTCAAATTATTAAAAATTTTATTTACAACAATTATTTATTAAAATTATTTATCCGATTACATTGTGTGCATAGAAATATCGAATAAATGCTTATAATCAAGGCCACAGTTTATTAGGTATTGATTTTTCTTTAAATATTAAAATATATTTAAATTATAATATATCATATATAATTATAATATTTAATTAATATGTAATTACTCTATGGTGTATTTTTAATAAACTTTAGCAATAAATATAAACATATTTATCTATAATATGATTTATATATAAATATACACACATATATATATATATATATATATATATATATATATATATATATATATACATATAAATATTTTTCTGATATGTAAGCATATTATTGAATATATGCATATAATGATATAGAACTCAAATATATTTATAAATAATAATATAACACTATATAAAACTGCAATAAAATATTTTTATATATCACTTATTCATTATATGTATACATATATATTTAAATGCGATTTAATATTTTCATAATATTCTATGTAATATAATTTAGTGCAATGCACAGAATACGAATTAAATTTAATTACAAATGCATAAGAATGCACTATACAAATAAAAGTAATTTTTTAATATATAGGACTGAATTATAAATTAAATTTCATCTTTATTTGGGACCCAAAAGAAATCTTGTCTATATTTCAAACAAGGAAACAAATATATGATTTTTCAGTTCATAATCCTTCATCATAAGCCTTAAGATATATAATCTACCTATTTCTTATAAATTAACAGTGACATCTTGATCGTTTTGGTAAAGTAAAAGTGGCATTTGGTTGCAACTTGTGTAGTTGGGAATATTTTTAAGATTATTTTCAGAATTTATAGTCTCAGGTGAAGGATTTGATAGAATATTTGTGGCATCAGATGAAGATGCAGAACTACTACTTTTGGATAAACTAGAAGAATTCCAAATGTGACTGCCATCGGGTATCATATCATCACTTAGGGAGATATCTGCTAGAATGCCACTCTCTGGAAAAAAATGTTATGTAGAATTTTATATGATGATTACATAACCTGCCTACTGTAAAATAATTGTATTTAATCAGCTTGGTAACCTATAATCTAAATTATTTATTTATTCATAAACAAGTAAATGATTGTTTCACATCATTAACTTATCTATTCGTACCTGTTGAACATTGGCTGTTCAGCGTGGTAGACCTGTGATGTGCCTTCGGGCTCTTGTGCTGCTTTCCGATGACGCAGACCGCGGTTGCCCCTAGCGACCGCCTCACATGCGAATCCGTCGTGTTCGTCCGAGAAGCGGTGGAGCAGGCGCTGGAACTATTGGCACTTGAGCTGGAGCCGGAGGACGACGCACTGCTGCTGCTCACAGATATAACTGAGTGAGGGCGTTTGCTTACTCGCAAACTGAGCTCGGAACATGTGGAACTGGAAATCGAATTGCGGAATCTAGGAGCAGCTGGGAAAGATAAGTAGTGATGTCACAATTATGCATGTAAATCAAATAAAAAACCGTATTTCCGATGTAGTGTTAAAAATCACATAACTCACAAACTCAAAATTATTATCGGGTACTCGATTAACTGGTAAACCGACTAAACACCTATTACAATTCTACGCAAAATAAATTATCGTATATATATACTACCAATCGCTTAAGACAAATGTCTTTAAGCTTACAATTATAAAAATAATAATAGTATTATAATATTTTATTTACTTTTGCTTAGCTGGGCAATACTAATAGACCTGTCACTAATCTGATCGCAACTGGGACGGATATCCAAGCAGGGTTTGTTACCAATCCCCATGGAAGACATCTCAGCCAAGCGAACCTCTAAAACCAAAAAGGAACCTACTTGTAATAAACCAATAAAATATAAAATACCTTGTCTATAAATATTCCTTGCCTCGATTTCTTAACGCTTGTTTCCACAACAACTGTGAAATTTCTTCAGTCCAAGCCTTTTTAACATCTTCAGACATAGACTGTAAGGTAAAAGTATCGTTCGGTTTGCGTTTTCGGAACCAGATCTCAAACTTGGTAGAACTGTCGCCTATTCTAGCAGTGAGACCGATATCCGATGTTTTAATACTATTTTTATAAATGTACAGGTCCAAATTCTAAAAAAAAAATAAACACAAATTGTAAAATATATTGTTAATTTTAGATTTGTATTTATAAACTTACTTTGTGATCAGGAAATCTTCTAGCCTTGCTAAACAATATCAAGTCTTCGAATAAGAATACTTGTCTCATAGACTTCTTTCCGCTTTTGCCTTCCCATACTAGAAATTCATTTTGCCTCAAAAGACGCCCCTGCTCTTTAACATTTACCTATAAAAATGACATAACACATTATATTATTACATAAATCAGTACAACAAGAACATTATTCCTAGTAATTTCTAGTGATGTGTCTGGTTCTAATATTTCTCTTCTTACATCGCACTCTCGTAAAGAATCCATAGCCAGCAAATCATTTCCGTGCCTCAATTGGAAACGAACCATTTGTTCGGCGTTTTTAAGATCGTCTAGATCAGCAGAATTTTCAGAACCTTCTGGAGCAACTGCTTTCATAAGTTGCTGCAGCAATAAAGCATATTTCCCCATCCGTTGGACTGGCTTCAAAAGGTAACTTGCAAGATCCATCTTATCGCCCAATTCTAGTTGCTTACTCTTCAGAGGAAAAAAATTAATACAATATTTATTTTATTAAAATTAAATTAAATTAAATTGGTGCCCAGTCTAATAAGTTTTTTGGTGTGTTTAGTTTTCTATTACCTTAAAAAATGAGCTTCCATATTCCGACATAAGAGAATCCGATTTCGGTTTATTTTTATTGTACAGAGCATACAAATAAAATTTCTTCTCGTGTCTCAAAAAGGATCTTCCAATCTGTAAAGGATTATTCTCACATCGTTCCAACTCGCGCAAAAAATGTTGATTGTGAAATTCATAGATTTTTTCAACATTTCCAAAAACAACATTTCGTTGTCCTCTCAAAGCTTGCGGTATATCATCTCGCAAAAGTTCTGGCAGATAATGATCTATTATGTAGTCCAAGGATTTGACATAGTCGCGCTCCGTTTGAATCATTTCTCGTGTTATTAAAAGCAAAGTTCTGTAAAAAAAAGTTTTAATAAATATTAAAACATACATAAATACGTTGCTTAAATCGAATACCAATAATCTTTCTACTCACTTGTAGGTCTTGGGATCAATGTCAGTAGCTCCGGGCAAATCGTTAATATCGGGCAGGTCAATGTTAGAGGCGTGGCAATGCAGGTGGCTATTGACCTCCAACGGACCTCGGGGTTTAGGCGTCGAAGTCTGAGGTTCGAATGACTCATCCTCGAGTTCGTCGGTACAATTGCTAATAAACAACAGGTTAAGAAAAATAATATGTAATATTAACAAACTGAAAAATTATGACAGAGGTAAAAAAAAGCAATAAACTGGACACATACAAAACTTAAAATATTAAAAATTAAAGAATAAAAGATCAAAGGTCAAAGGTAATAAAAAATGTAAGTACGATGTATAATTTATATTGTTATTACCTCATAGGACATCCTTCACTTCCATCAGCTCTTTCTTGATCAGGATCACTGTAGCATCTGCACGAACAAGACCTATCCAAAGCTTTTCCATTTTTCGGCGCACGATCTTCACAGTTAACACAAGCTCCTATACCAGAATCTCCACCTCGTTCCTCATTTTCGATATCCCATTCACTAGACTGACTTATTTGTTGACTATTATCTTTGTTCTTCTGTTGATTGTTTGGATCTGTTTGGTTAGAATTTGTTGTTGAAGTGAGAGAGTGGTTGATGCGAATCCTGGCGGATTCTTCAAGCCTTTCCCGAGCTGCTTCCAGGCGGGTCGAGAAGTCCCGCATATGGGCGCGGAGGGCGAGTACCGTACTCTGAAGGGGCGTTCTTTTGGCTGCTTCTTCACATAAATCTGCTCCTCGATCGAGCTGACGCTAAAAGAAACCAAATAAATCAACTTGAATAAGGATTCTCATGAGGAAAAATACAGCTTGACGATAAATAAATTTGGTATGATTATTTTACCATCGAAATAAAATAAAACTGCTCAAAATCTTGTTCCTGCCTCTTAGCATCTTGATTGTTAGAACTATTTCCTGAGATGTAGGTCTGTAGCATGTCTTCACCCGAATGACGCATCCACGATAATACCTGCAAATTTTCAGTGATTTTTCGATATCATGAATAGCATTCAAAATAATTCAGCTAATAATTTATCTCCACCCTAGTGAGTGATTATCTAATTAAGACTAAGCAAGGACCATAGACCACGAGCAGTGCTTCTGTCTTTCATTAAATTATCATTAAAGGTATTTAGAATTACTTAAACGTAATACTAATATAGATTTACATAACGTAAAGATTTATTAGATAATAAATTACTTTTTACATAAAAAAAAATCGAAAAACTCTTAAATTCAGCAAATTGCTTTATTATTCATCGCATTACATAAATTTGATACCGATTCGAATTGCTTACAAAGTACTGGCAATATAAGTACGGAACGAGCAATAAACGATAATAGAGTTCGAATAATCCAATAAAACGATTACCCTCAATTCGCTCTCGCATTCCATCACAAACAGTCGCCAATTTTACTTTCGCCACTGCCGAAAACAAAATCAACAATATAATTCGATTTGAAGTAACAATAATATAACACTTTCCCTGCTGCTATTCGCATCACCGCAATAAATTGAACTCGTTCTAATGGTAATATAATCAGAAAAAGCATAAAAAAGACGTTGTAATTTTATAACTCTACATATTCTACATAACTTAATATATGTTGTATATGTATACAATTTACATCAAAGGAAAATAATGAAACACCCCAGAAGTTCTCTTGAATTACTGTTAATAATTATCTGTTTTATCCTTAAAAAGACTATTCTGAATCCATATTTATTTTTATCACCAACCTCGTCTGTTTCGTGTTCCAAGGCTTGTTCCCTAGCTAATTCTCGTAGCCTTTCTCTCCGTCTCTCGGCCAGCATCTCTAGCCCCTGGCAAGCTCGTTCAATTTCAGCTGCAAGACGTCTCGCAGCCACCAGAGCAGCCGCAACTTCATCACTAGAACCAGCAGACGCTCCGTGTGCCCGTCCAGCCAGCTGGGCCAGAAGCCCTGGTGAATCACGTCGCAAAGCTCTCAAAGCCGGACAAAGAAGAGACCGAGACAATGCACGATGTTGGCGATGAAGCGATTTACGAGTTACTGTTTTACCTGCCGACAAAAACATTCTCATAATAATGTACATCAAATATTTATCATTCTGTCTTTTTACCATTGTGTTCATCAGTTGTATTGCATTCTTTGGCTTCACTCATTAGCCTTCTGCCAGCTTCGCAGCACCGTTCACGAAATGCTTCATATTCCCTGAAAAATCGAATCCATTCGCGCTGATCATGTCTTGCTGAACCACCACAACGTTCCGGGGTCTGATGGCTGGGTAAGTATTGACTAAGTGCATGGCTATCCAAACATCTGTAACACTTCATAAAAACAAAACATTGACGTTGCAGCATTATGATTTAGTACCTAAAATGTTAGTAAATAGTTACTTGAATACGACTGCAAGGTAGCAATGCGGGTTGTTCATTCCTCCATGATGGTTGAGCATTATTTTCATCTCCGTTGGGTTCCCATGTCAGTACTATTTGAGCTGGAACACGTGCTCCTAATAGCAACAGAGAAGTGTCTAAAAGTTCCCAAATACGTTGATCATGCTCGCCAGTTTCATCAAGCAGCACTAAAACTGCTATGCCCCGCTGTAGACTGTCTTCACTAAAATTATAGAAACATTTAAGAATTATCAGTAATAGAAAGAAATACGCCATATATTTGGTTATTATTAAAAATAGTACCTTGGTAATGAAGTGTAGTATAAGAGCAAAGTAGCAACTTCAAAACAACTCAAACCAGCACGTGATAATTCAGAAGCATCAACTATAACAAGTGGCCGACCTGATATATCTCGAGTTCCTGCAACGATATTAAATAGATCGCAGGTTTACCAAAAGAAAAACAATCTCAATATAATGTATGGCAATCCATTACATCGAATATTTAATCTATACAATGTATCCTTTATAGAATTGAAAATGAATACGGAATTGTTATTCGATAAAATTATCTCTCTGTACAAATGTGTTACAACAAGTTTTTGTCTAAACATACAACATTTGCATAAAACTATTTGCATATATTTTAATTAAATAAAAACGTCAAATAAAATAATTATACAAATTTTCTAAGCAATCGATGATAATGCCACGAAGTTTGTGAAAGCTGACGACATTGCGGAAATATCGCTGAGCTTGTCTGCTTAACTGCAATAAGTACAAAATGTATATAAATTGGATGTAGCTAAAAGCTATTTTGCAAAGAACCATTCGATAGTAAAATATTATAATTAGATTGTACTAAACCGATTCTAAAATAATAGCCCGTTGTTGTTGGATCGTGTACATTTTATTGGTGTTTCGAATCGATTTGCAACACGAATGAGATCCTCTACAACAAATATTTCTTATTTGAAACAATAAAATACATATTAAATAAAGTTCTTATGTGGAATGGCGTTTTGGTGCTTGTGTGAAAAATAATATATTTAAATAAGAGTAATGTAAATTGAACATAAAAACCTGCGGGTAATTTCTCTAATGCTCCAGAAGCAAGCTCATAAAATCAATGAGATGAGATTTCAAATAAAAACGAATCAACAATTTTGTAAATATCTTGAAAAAACTTTGATACCTATAAACTTGAATGACTATCAAAATATTATTTTTTTAAGACTACACTATATAAATTTTACAAAATATTAAATTTAAAATTAAAAAATAATTATTATTCTCAAATTTAATATCCGGTTCCCTAATAATAGAAAACATCATTAAAATAATATATTTATTATTAGATATTAATATTTGGTATCGTGGTATTTAAAATATTTTTACGGTTTATAAACTTTTATTTAGAACAATTTGTATAGATTCACTATTCACTATTCACTATTCACTATTTTTTTCAGCTCACCTGGAAATGTTATTCCACAAGTTAATAACTTTTCGGACAAATCTTTAATAGCCTTCGGCGGGACAACATCATGCGGTAGTTTTGTCAGCATTCCTATTAAAAAATAAAAACAAATTTTTAGACGATACACTCTACTTCAAAAATAGATAGTTTATACAATTTTTTTAAATCGTAATTTAAAATGGATCAAGTTAATTAATCAACGACGACTTAAGCATAATAAAAGTGATCACACATAATTTAAATGTTATACAACCATTGTTTAATGTGATAAATCATGATCAATTATCATATAAAAACACAATGTAATAATTATAAATGTTTGCGCTCGCATGTCTCGTTAATTTAATTTTCAATTGACAATAAAGATGTTTTAATTACTTTTTTCGCGGCCGCGGTTGCGGTCGTCCTCATTAACTAACGGACGGCCGCTTGAAATCTTGCATGTTCCCCGGTGGACAGATACAAACTGGCGAACTGGCGAAATATTCATCTTTCCAAAGAAAGCGATCGAAAAACGCTTTATGCTATATGACACAAATCACATGTATCGAAAGTAAAATGTATATTTTGCAAAACTCATATTCGCTTTATAATTAAAAGCGTTTTATGGGACAAATGAAAGTATATTTTCGCCAGACACCACAAAGTCTGCTTCGATATATAGAAACCGGATAATGATCGGTTTGGGAATCAGGTATCAAGCAAAACGGCTCAGGTGAAAACAAAGGAGAAAATATTACGGAGTCCGAGATAATAGATGCCCGACATTGTAGGTCAACAGTAAAAAAGTGCCATTTTTTACTATTTTCTTCATACCGGGACATTAGTGTCCTAAGGTGATCTTTTTATATTTACGCACGTACTTTTTGCTCGAGTATAATGCTTATATGGTTCAATGTCGATTATAATCGAAATCTGCTTACAATTGGTAATGCAGAGATTTTTAGTACCAAGAAACACATTCAGACTAACAGCGGTTCCATTAAAAATGCCGATATACGTAAATTTGGAATTAACAGTTTTTTTTTATAAAATGCATGAATAAAAATCTCCATTTTGTTTGCTTTATTCTTTCTAGAGTAACGCACGAATTTCAGTCCTCGTATTTTTAAATTTATAGTCAAACCATTAAATATTTATTTGTTGAATATTATAATATATAAAATAAAAATTCGTTTTGTAAACATGCTCAAAGCCTCGGTGAATCTTTTATTCTAAAATACAAATCTTTGTTTTTGGTAACTCTAGTATTTTTTATGAGCTGGTTTTGTAAACATGCTAAAACCCTCAATGAATACCTTACTACAAAATGTGAATTTTAAATTTATCTTTAATAATGCACGGTGCAATGACTTGACCTATAAACCGTCTAATTTTTACAATGACTTTCGAACAGCACCGACACAGAACACAAAAATGATTTGCGTGCAGTATAGATCTTTTCTGGAAGTGATTTGATCGGTCGCGTGATCATCGCGAGTTCGCGAGAGATAGGAAGAGACAAAATACCGGTCTTTAGTTGATCTACAGCACTTTCCGATATATTGGGCGGTCCGCCCGTGCCACTTCGAAGGGGGCCCTGCAGCTCCTAAAGTGTCCCTTGCTATTAAGTTATTATCGTACGTGACTCTCGTCAAAACACTCTCGAATCTTTATGTTTCTACCCCTTCCAGAAAAAATCACAGCAATCACTTGCGCCGGCTGCAAATTTCGATTCTATATAATTAAAGACCAAATTTCTACCGATCTCTTTTGAGAAATAAATGCGCATGTTCACGAAATGACTTTTTGATTTAATATTTTAAAATATTCAATATAAAAAACGCTAGATTTACCAAGCAATAATATTTAATTTTAGGTAAAAACTAATTTATTTATAAAAATAAAAATTCATCGGGGAAATGATCATGTTATTTTACTAATATGATATTGGAATGATAATTCAAATTTTCTACTCATTGATGATCCATTCTCAAATTTCTAAAGTTCATATCCAGAAATAGCAAAATCGTAAAAACTGCTCACGGACCGGCAATCTAATTTCAAACCTGACCGACAAATAATAACTAATACACGACGTGACTTGCCGTCTGGTAGGTATATCACAATAATTTAATTCAAATAGAATCACAATCAACATAAGTGCACGCCATCGTCCGAAGACTTCTTGAGAGAATAGAGAAATTCTTCAATCTCGATAGGTTGCGTGACAACATGCGTCAAGGTCGTGGGATTTCAACAGCTGGGGAAATAAATCCAAAAGCCGCAACTTAAAAAATAATAATTTGAACAAAAAGTAATAGTTCAATGAAATCTTTATTAGGCGCATAGTATTCAAATTTTGTGCAATTATAAATGATCGAAAGCTCACTGAGAATTTTCACTGAAAATGCAAGAATCACAGCAACCTTTGACCAATTTTCTTGATATTATTTGGAATGAAAAAGTTGCCATGAAAAATTACATCCTGATTTGATCCGGATCATCATCAGACCAAGAGCAAAATACCATAGGTTAAAAAAGAGTGCAAAGTGTTTATTTATATATATTTCTAGAACATATATTTCTACGAATCCTAATATAAATTTGGTTATATCAGAACTGCTTACCCGTCATGGCAGACAGACGTTTATTAGGCAGCTCCTCATCCTCATCGCTGTCGATATGCGGTATCGATCCGCCCAGGGCAAACACCGCACCCGCAAGTTCTGAGCTCTGTTGATCTCTTCCTTTCTCCTGTATTGTCTCCTTGCATTTGCTATCTTGATTATCCTTATTTGGTACCGTATATTCTCTACATCTGCAGACCGTGTTATCGGTCTGCGACTCGGTGTTCGCATTATTACCCATCCAGGATTCGTAACACCTTCCGCAGAGTGGACAAGGAAATGCTAGGGCTTCCAACGGGGCTCTCTCGACCGCGCGTTCGACCGTTATCAAGAGGCCGCGCAACAGATCGGGCAGCACGTCCATCTGTAAGCCGAGCGAAGAGTCCGGCGTGCCCGGTTCTAACCGCCTGAAAGGAAAAGTAAAGGTAGAGAAAATATGTTTTCTATCATTTTATCTATATTTTGTTATTACCTGGAATGAATTTCCCTATCGGCGCCGCGCCAGATCAATGCCAATTCGACGACATCCGAAGATTGGTGCGTCGCCTGGTCTCCAACTGAAGAAACGTCACAAGGACGGACGCAGAGGTAACAGTCACCGGTCCGTGTCAGATATGAAGGGTCTAATTCGCCCAAATGAAGTGCCAAACCGCCACGATACAGGGTTACTGGCCATCCGCTAACGACTACGCCTCGGATCTGAGAAAAAAATAGATAGGTTAAAAAAGCGAGTAAAATCAATACGAAAAGGTAAAATTTCAAATTTTTAAAATTGAGATTGAAATTGATTGGTGTTTTATCACCCAAAAAAGTGCTAGAGATAAATCTTATTCACTTGATAAGGTATCATTATATGGCCGAGTTTATAACATCAATATTATTAAATGAATGAATCGCATTCTACTCGCAAACAGCAGGTTATTAATTTATGATTTATTGCATACACAACACGCCCAACGTCATTCACAGTGCTAATGATAAATACTAATTGCATACAGCAATATGACATGTTACTGCACATTCTAGGAAACAAAGGTATTTGCATGCTTGTAATTAAATTGTGAATGAAAAGACTCATTTCCAGAAATGCACGGATCCGAATAATATTATCGGTGTATAGACAATAGTTGCGCATATTATCGTTGTACTCAGGAGGAAATTGCAAAACAGCGGCAGAGATTGAATAATTTCAATGATTCGAATATTAACAAACGGTATGTAAAATAAAGACGTTAAACCTGACTGATGGACAATATTTTACATTCGCTTCGAGAGAGTCCGGAACTAAGAAAAGTGTTTATATTGAATATAATAATACTCATTCTCATAAAATCAACAGGCAATTAAAATAATTAAATGCGGCAAGAGATAGCCGTTGCCGAGCAAAATGTCGAAGGCAAGCATATTAACAATGATAATAAAGATGTATGTAAAGTCATGGACTCCAATTAAATAATAATTACGCGATTTTATAGTTTCCGTTTCATATTACAAGTATTTCAAAGATAAACGAATAATGTCTTTCACTTGCTATTTAATTTACATGTTAAATAAAATTTAAATATATCAATGAGTAAATTTCGTAAAGGTCGCACAATATTAATTTGTACGATTTCAAAATTAATTCTACACCATCAGCGTTAGGTGTCGTCATACTCGTAAATATGAATTATCGAGTTAGGGCTTTTTGACAATGATAGATTCAAAAGTTTATTCAAATATATGTTGAAACTAAACGAAATGCTTTACACAAAGACCTTACTTATGGCATAAAATAAACGCAAGTGCACACTTATAGGTATTGAATGGCTCCAAGGAAAACAACAAATAATATAATAGTTATGCAATAATATATATGTGCGGTGCTAAAGGTTTTATGAGTATCATAACAGTAATAATAAATAATCAAACACATGATGCAATTATTATAACGGTGCCGCACTGAAGAACGATTAACACCTCTATAAAACTTTTTCTTCAATCACGATTTTATGCGTTTATTCTCATTGTCAATGGGACGACTGCGATGATTGGAATATCTTTTGCACGCATCTTTCAATTAAAATGTTAACTCTTAACCGAAACATTTTTATTTCAATTTAAAAAACAAGCGTCACTATATTACAATTTACTTGCACCTAGTTATATTGTCATTATTACTAAGTAATAGATAAATAAACGATTGATCAGTAAACTATACAATTATAAAATGTGCCAATGGTTTGTGCTTTTTATGTAAAAACTATATTTCACGCATGTTTTTCAAATATTGTATTTTCATCTCATCCCACATGTTCTACCGAAAACAAAGCAAAATCGTTCGTGACATGTTCTTGTAACATAATATCATTATATAACGACTTTGTGTCGTTAATTTCATTCTTTCGCACGAATCTTTGATTTAAACAAAGTACCGAGAAGACTTTTGAACGCTTATCTACTGAAAATTAATTGCCAACGAGATCGACACAGGTAACAGTAATTTCAAGAAAAGTAAGAGTGAAAGGGAAATTAGTGCACTTACCGATGAGAAACAGAAACGACTTGAATTCGAGCAAAATGAACACACAAACGCCAGAAAAACTCGTACACTGAAGGATCATATTGATGACAACCTTTTTAACGACGACGACAACTTTTACATTGTTAAGAAGTTAAGAGTCATATACGTATATGTGTCAATTCTACTATGATAATTACTAAATTATAGTGAACCGTTTTGTGGTTAGTGTCAGATAGTTTTGGTTTTCGTAATAGACATTTAGTCATAACGGTAGTCTTCCTTAAGATTACCTCATAATTGCTCAATTTTTATTTAGGTGAAGAGAATTTGTTCATAAGTAGTAATTTTTTTATTTAACTTATTTTGCAATCTGTTTATTCTAAACCAATAATTTTTGTTTATTCTAAAATAATATTGAATACAAATTAGTAGATACAATCAGTGGCTTGTATAATAGGGATAGCTATAAGTAGTGAAAATGGAAGTGCTTATTACAAAACGAATTTTAATGATTCAGTACGTAAATTCTATGAAAATCAGATTTAGCAACATATTAAAAAATAAAATTGTCAAAATACTTGCTTCAAAATTATGCTAGTATTCTTCTCATGAACTAACATTAGCTTAATTTTATAATTAACTAAAATTTTTGAATATCCTCACATTATCGCAAATCCTTGGTGACTACATCGTCTTAGCATATTACCTAGAAAGCATTTCACCATCAACTGACAAATTTATTGGACAATTGATGCCTAACGTAATTACCAATGTTTACATCAAGTAAGATGCTAATAATTAACGTTATCTATGTGCACGTAAATAATGAAACAATAAAATTTCGTGAGTTTCTTAAGCGTGCGTCCCTCAGAGGTCAAAAAGTCGAAAAGATCGTAGGGTCATGATCAACGAACGCATCAGGTGCGAAAGGTCGAACTCAGAACATTCGCTTTCGCTGCTCTCACACGCACCTCGGCACCCACCTGACACCAGAGAGCTGGGATAAAACTTGAGATTTAAGTAATATTATATTTGAAAGAGCTTTCAATTGATTACACAGGTTGTAAAAAAGTTGATTGTATTGGGTGTGCGGCATGCGTTTTCCAATGTAGTTCAGTAAAGTCAAAGATGAGGGTCAACTGGCAAAAAATTGAAAAAAAAATTAAAATAACGTCAAAATCTCATCTCTAGTAATTCTTCTATTTGTTTTTAAATACAATAATTTTATATTGTTAATATTCGTAAAGCAAAAAAGCTTCTTATTGGCAAGTTGTAATTGCTGGTCCACATTTTAACTGTGCTACCTACTAATTATCCGATAATTCTTATTACCATTTTTTAAATTTCCAAATATTTCATCTGAAAATTTACCATTAGCCCACCAGCTCTTTTATCTTTATATCAATGCGTTGCCTCCGAGTAATTTATTCACGTAAATAAATGACGATGCCCATCAATTGCGTTATCCGAACATGTAAAATTATATGCTGCCGAATATTTACATACTATTAATATTTCATTTTAATGACATTCTTACTAAAAGTAAAATCTAAAAAGCGAGAGAAGTGTTAGGAAATTTTCATTTTTTAATAAATGACTGATTTGTTAGACAGATATAAAGATATAGCCTCGGGGTTCTAAACTTATAGGTAAAAATCTGTAAAAATTCAATGAATTTGTAATAAAAGTGAAACTTGTATCAGAAAAATATTAAAATTTTAAATTTTAAAGGCAGTTACATGCAAGCATTCGTTAACTTAAAAATTTTCTTCTACAATTTTTTTTAAGAATGCAGTAGATATATCAAAATAATTCTTAAATATTATGAATTAAATATCAAAATTCACTATGAATTATCATAGTCGCATGCCAAAAATGTCAATATATGCATACATTGTTTCATTTACTTTAAATTCCCATAAAGATAATAACATCTTTATTATGTCTGGTGCCAACCATCCTTTGCAAATTCTCTAGATAAGTGTGGCATGTAAATTTGCCTCGTAATGCTCTATGAATCAAATTGTTATGAATCAAATAACTCGATGATGAAATAAATTTCTTCAATACTATCCTCCAACATGTATTTGCATTCCTATTATAGTACAACAATATTATACATTACAAATTTTATCGTTGATTTGGCAATATTTCTATGGGCACTCGTAAAATATGTGCGTAAATTTAAATAAATATTTATGTCGACTATTGATATTCAATATTCACGCATTCCTTAGTGCAATGGGACACTTTAGAACAGGGCAGGTAAAGCTCTGGAAAAGTTTAATAGGAATAGTCAAATAATAATTTATAGATAAATATAACAAGGTAATATAACAATGGTAAGAGTTTTATTTACTTGGAAACATATTGTCATCTATATTACCATGTAAAAACAGAAGACATTACTGCTCGACAGCATACTACTTCTGATCAAATCCCGTAGCTCTATCCAATATTTAACGATGGAGAGCAAAAATATATAAGTTTTAGAGATTTCGATTACTATCAAATTGTTATCTACCCCTGTTCTAGGATCCCACGCAAAAAATATTCCCCTGATCCTGAATAACGCGAAATGCACTCGATATCCTTGAACCGCGCCTCCGCCTTTGGACAAAACACAACAATATGGATACTTGGAATATAAGACATGTGTTATGGACGAATTTAATGGCAAAAACTAGAATTATACATTATATCTATAAGAAATATCGTACAGAGTTCAAAGTGCCCATACAACGTAAAGTATAAGGGAGTTTTATGGAATTCACAGGGATACATACAAATTTTAGCCGCAAGACAAATGGTATGTAAATTGAAAATTTTATATGAAATAAGATCTAAGTTTATAATAAAATTGCAATTGCAAATATATATATATATATATATATATATATATATATCGATTTATATTTATTATATATATAATTTAGTTCTTCGTTCCCCATGTTGAGACCATTATGTATCCCACGTCAAAATATTTTTTCCTCGATTTTTACAACGACATTAATTACCATTATTTGGTCAATTCGCATTATGTAATATACTCGCGCTCAAATAAACCGGCAAATTCAATTTTATACGCACTTATATCATACCGAAAAAAATCGTTCCTTTCATAATAACAGTTACATTATTCACAGTATCAGAAATGAAAAAATAAACGAGCCGTCTGCTTTTTTATTGCATTGTC